TGAACTCCTAAAATTACAATACTCATTTCCTTTCATGATATACACACACACACACATATACACACACATACGTGTGTGTGTATATTTACATATATACACACGTATATATACATATAGATTTTTGAGACAGGATCTTGCGCTGTCTCCCAGGCTGGAGTACAGTGGTGCAATCACAGCTCACAGCAGCCTCAACTTCCCAGGGTCAAGGGATCCCTAATTTTTTTTAAATTATTTTTTGTAGAGATGGGTATTACAGTGTTGCCAGAGCTGGTCTCAAACTCCTGGACTCAAGCGATCCTCCTGCCTCGGCCTCTAAAAGTTCTGTGGGATTACAGGTGTGGGCCATCATGCCCGGCCTATATTTTTATTTATAACCTTTGTATGCATCTGGGAAATTTTATAGAAGTCTTTTCAAAAGGAAGTTTAGTGCGGTAGAAAGAGTGCAGATTTAGGAGTGAGGAAAACCAATTTTGAAAGGCCAGGCCTGCTATTTACTAACTATGTGACTTTGGGCAAGTCATTCCCCCTCCTCCAGGCCTTTTTCTCATCTATATATGCAGATGAGACTATCCACCGGTTCCAGGTTTGTCATAAACATTCAAATCATGAACATTTATATAACAAGTTTATTGAGATCTCCTGAGACTTAAACCCTGTAGAAAACAGATGAATCAAACCCAGGCCCCATTCTCAGGAAGCTCACAGTGGGAAAACAGGTAACTACAAAAACACAGCCAATAAGTGCTTTGAAACAAGGAAGAACATAAAAAGGATGTAGTGTTCGAAAACCTGGAATCAAAAACTAACCGCAGAGAAAGGTAGGAGGATGTTCTAGACTCCCAGAGAAGAGCTGGGGAACATCTAGAAAGGCTCTTGCTGCAGACACAGCCATGTCCCCCTAGGTCTTGGAGTTCACTGCAGGCTGGCCCATTGCAAGGAGGTGTAGACCACCTTACCATCAGGCTGCGGAGAACAGAGGAGCAGGGTCTTTCGGACGCTGGTTCCAAGGCGCCCAGCAGCAACCAGGTCCTGGAGTGGGATGGGGTCCTCCGGGGCCCAGCACTGAGCGATGTAGTGGGCATGGAAGCGGAGGGGGTCACCTGGGGGAGGGAGAGAGCACTGAAGCAGTGACCAATGGCAGAGGGCTGGATGCCACAGGAACGACCACTGGGAGGAGATTTGAGATCATTTCAGCAATCACTATGGATACTCTAAAACAGATGCTCTTGGACCCAACTATTCCGCTCTAGACTTTTTTTTTTTTTTTTTTTTTGAGACGAAGTCTCGCTCTTGTTCCCCAGGCTGGAGTACAATGGCATGATCTCAGCTCACTGCAACCTCTGCCCCCTGGGTTCAAGTGATTCTCCTGCCTCAGCCTCCCGAGTAGCTGGAAATACAGGTGCCTACCCACCACACCCAGCTAGTTTTAGTATTTTTAGTAGAGACGGGGTTTCACCATGTTGGCCAGGCTGGTCTCAAACTCCTGACCTCAGGTGATCCACCTGTCTCAGCCTCCCAAAGTGCTGGGATTACGGGTGTGAGCCATGGCGCCCAGCCTGATGTCTAACTACTTCTAAGCGAATCTTCTGGATCACAGTAAACATTTAATAAAAGTTGCTAAACTGCTTTCCCAATTATTTCAGGAGCTCCAAAATGTTTCCTGTCCGTCTATGAATTTCAGAGGCTAAGACAAAGTGAGACAAAAAAAAAAAAAAAATGCAGCTGGGCCTGTAATCCCAGCACTTCGGGAGGCCGAGGTGGGAGGACTGCTTGAGCCCAGGAAACGGGACCAGCCTGAGCAACAATAGAGACCCCATCTCTATTAAGACAAAAAAAAAAAGAAAGAAAAAAAAAAACGCAGAATACATTGGGATCGTATGGAAAGGCACAGCAACCAGAGGCCCCAACCCAAACTCACCAGGATAGACCAGGAAGTCACCTCCGAACTTGCCAGCCGCACTGAGGAAGAACCCTCTCTCCCACAGGTCTCTGTAAATGCTGTAGCGCAGCTCATGGGCAGGGCGGCCGGCGTGGGGCCAGTCTTTAGACTGGACACGCCAGTCCAGGGGCCTGGCCTTGACAGGTCGAGGCCTGGCAGTGGCCAGCTGGACAAGGAGAGCAGATCTGGGCAAGGGGGCTACCCCATTTGAGGGTTCTGCTTGGGAAGAGGAGGGACCTGGTGGGGAGTACAGAGAAGAGTTTGGTAAATCCAAGGGGCAAAGTCTTCTCACCCTCAGGGAGACCCAGGCACTGGATTCCCTGCTAAAATTTCCAAAAGATCTCTCCTCTCCTTCCCGTGGTTCGTGGACTCCACCTCCCATACTCACGGGCTTCCTCCTGCTCTCCCGAAGCCTGGCCATCACTGGTCTCGTTCTCTTTGGCAGCCTGGCTCGAGCCGGCCTCATGGCTCGAGCTGGCCCCTGAAGCCTGTTCTAGTTTCTGCTTCTTGGCAGCCTGGCCCTCCGTAATCTTCTCCAGGAGCTCCTGACGACGGGTCTCCCGGGCCTCAGCTGCCAAGGCGCTCTGCTCCTGGAAGCTCTCCTCTTGCTGGCGCTTGAAGGCTGTCAGGGCCTGAGAAGCACACGTCGCTGGAACCTCCAAGCTTATGGTCCCTTCGGAAGCCAGGAATCCTGACTCCCAGGTCCGGCTCCCACCGAACCCAGGGGTTCCAGCCCCGCCCCCTTATGATCCCACCAGGGATCCCGCCAAGGCGCTCTGCTCCTGGAAGCTCTCCTCTTGCTGGTGCTTGAAGGCTGTCAGGGCCTGAGAAGCACACTTCGCTGGAAACTCCAAGCTTATGGTCCCTTCGGAAACCAGGAATCCTGACTCCCAAGTCCCGCTCCCACCGAACCCAGGAGTTCGAGCCCCGCCCCCTTACCAGGCTGTGGTGCTGAGGGTCTGGGCGCGGGGCGCTAACCAGAGTCACGGCGCCGATCTCGGCCAAGAGCCGCGCCTCTTCGGGCATCAGCAGCAGCGGGAGGCCCAGGCGCGAGTTCTGGCGGGGCCCGCGGGGCAGGGCGCCTACCGTGCGGCCCCCCACACCCAGGCGCTCCCGGAGGGCCTGCACCGCCTCGGCTCCCCACACCAGGGAGCGACCGTTCGCCACCTCCACCACTAGCATCCTCCTGCGGGAGCCGGGAAGCAAAGGAGTTACCGAAACGGCTGCGCGCAGCGGGCCACCGGAGCACAACCAAAGCCTCCGGGGTCTTGGCGAAGACCCGCCCCTAATTCTCAGGGGGCGGGGCCTCGCTCAGCCGCCGTTCACCACCTGCTGGGCCGGAGCGCCAGGCCCCACCCCAGGGCGATCCCGCCAGGCCCCGCGGCCGCTGGAGACCGACCCGCGGCCCTCGCCCCTCGCCGCGCCCCCGGGGCTCTGCTCTACCCTTGTGACCCTGCAGTCGGCACCCGCTTTGTGCCCACACTGCCGTACCTACCATTGCGCCTTGGAGTCTCAAAAACAAACCTCCCCAAGCGCGGCGACACGCCCCCTTACAAAAGTCCATTTTGGCACCACCCTCTTGCAAAGTGGGCGTCCCCCTTCGGGTGCTTCCATCAGGGGTCAGAAGCTCTCGAGGCTAAGGCACTGCCAAGGCCACACCCACTTCGGGACGCTCCGGCCTTGGCTCCTCCTCTTTCCGAACCACTGTGATTCTGCTTTCCGGCCTACAAGCTCTCAGACCCCCACAGTACAAAACCCTGCCCCCTTCCGAGCACAAGAAGTGCGGCGGTCGGGCGTCCTTGGCTTCACCGAATCCGCAGCCCCGCTCCCTTCTCGAACGCGAGCAATTTGGCGTTCGGGTGTTCTCGGCTCGGCCGAATCCGTAGCCCCGCCTCCTCCCGGACGCCTGAGGTTCGGCGTTCGGGCGTCATCGGCTCCCAGCAGTCCCGCAGGCTGTGGCCCCGCCCCCTCCGAGCGCCAGCGCACCCCCGACGGGGAGTTCCCGCCCGACGACCGAACCCCATAGCCGAAAGCCCCGCCCCCTGGGCACCCGCCGTCCACTCTCCGCTCGGGCGGGCTCACCCCACTTGGGAGCGCTCAGTCCGCCTCCTTGCTTCCCTTCACAATGTCCCACGGTCCACCGACAGAACCAGCGAGTCACCTCATAAACACTAACTCGCAGTCGAGGCGGAGCCACCCACTACGCACCGCGCCACGCGCTCCTTCCTCCACCCGCTCTGGCCGACCCTCGCGTCAACTTCGTCACCCCGCCCCGTCAGCGCCGGGGGAAGTCAGGACCCGCCCCTCGCAGGCTCGAAGCCCCGCCCTCCTCCCGCGGTGACCACCTTGGCCCCGCCCCACCGAGCGCACCTCCCTCTGCCGCTTCCTCTCCTCAGCTTGGGAACTTGAGGCTCGTCACCCTGGCCCCGTCCCCTAGGCGCACGCCGGCCCTCGGGGTTCCGCCCCTTTGAGGGCAAGCCGCTTTCGCCCCGCCCCCTTGTAAATCCTCATCGGTATCTGGCGAACCTGTTGACTCCGCCTATCATCCTAGCGTCCCTTGTACCCAACTATCTACGAAGTAAACCGAAGCTTATGGCCCCACCCACATCCGGCCGAGTCTGTGTTCCCGCCCACATCGGAACAGTGACACTAAGGACTCGACTATCTCCGAAGAAAGCCGAAACATGTGGCCCCGCCCACAGTAGCCCCAGCGCTCCGTTCTCGACTATCTCCGAAGTGAGCCGAAGTTTCTGGCCCCGCCTCCCGTGAACTCAAGCTCCCGATTGTGCCCGAAGGAACCCGAACGGAGACCGCACCTCATCCCTCACGCCGAGCTCCAGACCCCGCCTCCTTTCCGGATCCCGTCTGTTTCCCTTCGGGTCCAAAGCTTTTGGCTCCTCCTTGTTCCGAGCCCGAAGCCCCGCCCCTTCACGTACTCGGGGCTCGGAGCCCGGTGTGGACCTGGACTCGAGTCCCGTTGTCGACTCGCGCTCCGGTCGCCTGTTCTGGGGTTCCTTCCCTGCCCGCCCGGGACCCTGACCGTGGCCTCATCCCCGCCCCGATCCGCGCGGCCCAGCGGGCGCCCAGAAGGAGCAGGCGGCGCGGGGGCGCGCTGGGCGTGGGAGGCGTGGCCGGAGCCGCAGCGGCCCGCGGGCTGGGACTGCTCGGCCGCCTCCTGCCCGGCGAGCAGCTCAGGTGGGCCGGGGTGGCGGCGCCCAGTGGCAAGGCGAGGTTACACGGCGGCAGGGTCTCTGCAGGCTGGTGGGTGCGGGGCGGCCCCGGAGGCGCGTTAGAGCTCGGGGCTGGCGCAACCGCCTGTGGATCTGCCGGGGATTGGATCCGACCCACGCTGGGGTGCGCGGGACGGGTTGGGGCTGGGCCTGGGCCTGGGGAGGGAAGGGTGTCCGATCCCCGGGTTCTCCGTAGGAGAGGGGTCTGGAGCTCCGAAGGAGGTGAGGCTGGAGGCCCCGGGCTCCTCTGGGTGCTCGCGAAGGAGAAGGGCTGGGGGTCCGGATACCTGGTTTCACAAGAGCCGGGGGATGGGGGATCCAAAGAGGGGGTCTGGGTTCCTGGATCCTCGCTGGAAGAGGGGTCTCGGAGGTCTAGATTCCTGGGCTGTCGAAGAGGAAGGGTCTGGGAGGGGTGCTGTTTCTGGGTTTTTAAAAGAGGGGCGTCTTCAAATCTGGGTCCCCAGTATGGGTGCAGCGAGTAACTTTGATTTCTGCCTTCGCAAACGAGGCGCCTGGGTGCTGGGAGATCCCCACGCTTTCCTGGGTTCTCAAAGGAGAGGAGAGCTGGAGGCCTGTGCGCTCATAGGAGAGGGGCTGGGGGTGGATTCCTGTCTCCAAGGAAGAAGGGGCCTAGGTTCTCAAAGGAGAGGAGCTGAGTCTCGGACTCCATCATCCTGAGGAGCTGAGTTCCCGGATCACTCATCCTCAAAAACTGGGGTCTGGGAGGGCTGGGTTCCCTGGATCCTGAAGAGGTGGGAGGAGGCAGGGGCCTGGATTCCTGGGTTCTCACTGTGAATCTCTGCCCCTCCCCCAGACCATGTCGCCTGAAGAATGGACGTATCTAGTGGTTCTTCTTATCTCCATCCCCATCGGCTTCCTCTTTAAGAAAGCCGGTGAGTCAGGCCTCCGCAGTGAAAATAAAGGGGGGACCTCTGGCATTCCAGGCTTATGCTGTCCCTTCCCCTGCAGGTCCTGGGCTGAAGAGATGGGTGGGCAGCTGCTGTGGCTCCGGGGCCTCACCCTGTTCACTCGTGGCCCCCACACTTTGGTGCATTCTCTGATCACTATCCTCTTGGGACCTGGGCCTCATTCAGGCCCAGCCCCGTGAGAATTCTGGTGGAGGGAGGAGAGGAGAGGAGGAGAGGAGGAAGCAACCTGTTTCCTCTTTGGGTCTTTTTCAGCTTCTGCCTCATCTCTGGCTGTCTGGCTGTCTCTTGTTGATCAGCTCCCTTCTCTGTTTCATGTTTTTTTTTCTTTCTTTCTTTTTTGAGATGGAGTTTCGGCCTTATTGCCCAGGCTGGAGTTCAATGGTGCGATCTCAGCTCACTGCAACCTCCACCTCCCGATTCAAGCGATTCTGCCCCAGCCTCCCGAGTAGCTGGGATTACAGGCATGCACCACCATGCCTGGCTAATTTTGTATTTTTAGTAGAGATGGGGTTTCTCCACGTTGGTCAGGCTGGTTTCAAACTCCTGACCTTGTGATCTGCCTGCCTCAGCCTCCCAAAGTGCTGGAATTACGGGCGTGAGCCACCATACCCAGCCTCTTCATCTGCTTTTCTTCTCCCCGCCTCTCTGCATTCGGTCCCCGTGTGTTTGGTCCTAGTCCGCTACATCCATGTCATGGAGAGAGGCATGGTGTGGCCTCGCTGGCCCTGCCACCGCTGATTCGATTCATTCATCCACCCCCTCTTCTTGAGCTCCTGACCTTTGGAAATAAAGAAAAGCGGAGGAGTGCAGAGTCTTCACCTGAAGCTTCTCTGAACCTCGCTCTCTTCTCTGCTTTGCTGTGTGTTTCTGTGTGGCTGCTTCTTCTCCCCATTTCAGTCATAATATCTCCATTCCCTTACATCCACCCTCCAGTCTCTCTCTGCTCCTCTGTGTTTCTGTCTCTGAATGAATGGGGAGAGTTGGGGAGGATTGGTGGCTGGACTCGGGAGTGGGGTGGCCAAGGCCGAGACTTCTGTGCCCAACACAACGCAGACTCCTGCTTTTACCCAGCTCCTGCCATGCCCTGGCTCTGGCCTGGACCTTCTCCTATCTCCTGTTCTTCCGAGCCCTCAGCCTGCTGGGCCTGCCCACTCCCACGCCCTTCACCAATGCCGTCCAGCTGCTACTGACGCTTTGAAGGTCGACTTCGGGCCTTGCCACCCTCCAGCCTCCCCAGGGCCCCTTCACCTCCCCACTTCACCTCCCCCTCCAGCCGCTCCCGGATTTTACCTCCTGCACACCCTGGGGTGGGGGCCGCCACCACACTGCTGCCCTGGGCATGTAAGCCCCCATTCACATGCTCTTAAGTTCACCTCCCAGCTCCTCCTGGGTGAGGAAATAACCCATGGGGTAACAGTAGGTGCCATTGGTGCTTGTTGTGAGCCAGAGGCCCATAGCTGGGTGGTTTACCAACATGCTGTCCTGAATCTCTGTAGCTGGGCTATTCTGCAAAGGAGAAAAACCAGTTCTGGGGAGAAGGTACTTGTTGAAGGGCACAAAACTAGGGCATCCAGGTCTGGCTCCTAGTCACCCGGGAAGATGGGGTGGAAAACAGACTCCCAGGGCCCACCCCCAGACCCACAGAGTCACAGTTTCCTACTGAGGCTTATTCAGAACACAGCGGTCATGCTAGGTAGAGAGCGGTCTCCCACAGCCTTCAGCGACCCGCCGAGCTCAGCAGTGGCAGGAGTAGGTTGATGAGAGGGGTTAGAGGAGGAGCATTTGTGCCATAGGGATGACGTGTGTGGAGGGGAGCAGGATGGGTTCACCTGCTGCACCAGCCACATCCGCTTTCTGGGAAGAGCAAAAGGGAATGGGCAGCAGGGCTTGACACATGCTAGGTCTGGCTGGTGACCGTGAGGACTTTGGACTTCTTCCCATGGAAGACTGAGATCTGCTGGAAGAGGGGATCTTTGGTTTGCTGCCAGAAGAGGCAATGTGACCAGTTTTAAATGTTTAAAATACTTGTTCTGGCTGGGCGCGGTACTCATGCCTGTAATCCCAACACTTTGGGAGGCTGAGGCAGGCGGATCACCTGAGGTGGGGAGTTTGAGACCAGTCTGGCTAACATGGTAAAACTCTGTCTCTACTAAAAATACAAAAATGAGCCAGTGTGGTGGCTCACACCTGTAATCCCAGCTACTTGGGAGGTTGAGGCAGCAGAATTGCTTGAACCTGGAAGGTGGAGGTTGCAGTGAGCCAAGATCCCACCATCGCAATCCAGCCTGGGCCTCTCGAAGTAGACTCCGTCTCCAAAAAAAATAAAAATAAAAAATACTGCTTCTAGATGCTGAAGGAGAGTTGAAGTGGAACAGGGCAGTGGAATGGACTTGGATAAAGGATCCAATAAAAAGGATCTCCTTTATCCTAGTCCAGGTGACAGACTGCGGTGTTTGAGGCAGGCTGTCAGCTGTGGAGGTCTGAGTTGCAGGAAATGGCACATTTAGGATGATTGAAGGAGTTGCTACCGGCGGTGGGCAGGATGTAGAGGACAAAAGGATGGTGCCGCTGGGAAGCGGTGGCTCACACCTGTAATCCCAGCACTTCGGGAGGCCGAGGTGGGCGGATCACGAGGTCGGGAGGCAGAATGCATCCTGGCTAACATGGTGAAACCCCGTCTCTACTAAAAATACAATTAGCCAGGCGGTGGCGGCGCCTGTAGTCCTAGCTACTGGGAGGCTGAGGCAGAATGGGTGAATCCGGGAGGCAGAGCTTGCAGTGAGCCAAGATAGTGCCACCACACTTCATCCTAGGCGACAAGAGCAAGACTGCCTCAAAAAAAGGGGTGGTGCCTGAACTCAGATCAGCAGCAGGAGCTCCTTCCTAACTCAAGGCCCAGGGGAGGTGGGTCAGGTTGTGGTACCTTGATGGAAAAAGGGTTGTCTAGGCCTGGTGCAGTGACTCATACTTGTATAATCCCAGCGCTTTGGGAGGTCATAGTGGGAGGATTGCTGGAGGCCAGGAGTTTAAGACCAGCCTGGGCAATATAGTGAGACTCTGTCTCTACAAAAAATTTTTTTTTTTTTTTTTTTTTAAGACAGAATCTCGCCTCTGTCACCCAGGCTGGCGGCAGTGGTGTGATGTCACTGCAACCTCTGCCTCCCAGGTTCCAGCGATTCTCCCACCTTCAGCCTCTCTCGAGTAGCTGGGACTACAGGTGCCCACCACCACACCTGGCTAATTTTTATATTTTTAGTAGAGACGGGGTTTCACCATCTTGGCCGGGCTGGTCTCAAACCCTGACATCAAGTGATCTGCCCACTCAGACCAACCAAAGTGCTGGGATTACAGGCGTGAGCCACCATATCACACCAGGCCCTTACTATATATTTTTTTTTGAGACGGAGTTTTGCCTTGTTGCCCAGGCTGGAGTACAAACAGCACGCATCTTGCTCACCACAACACCCGCCTCCCGGGTTCAAGCATTCTCCTGCCTCGCTTCCCGAGTAGCTGGAATCTACAGGCATGCATCACCATGCCCGGCTAACTTTTATATTTTTAGTAGAGACGGGTTTCTCCTGTTGGTCAGGCTGGTCTCAAACTCTGACCAGGTGATCCACCCACCTCAGCCTCCCAAAGTGCTGGGATTACGAGGCGCGAGCCACCACACCCAGCCAACATTATTTTTTAGCGTGAGAGAGCCACCCACCTTGAAATGATCTATCAAGGGTGATGGCCAGCCCAAGGCCATCTCACAAGGGAATAAAGCCCTGCCTCTCTCTGACTTGTCCGACTCCAGCCAGGGATTTCTAGGACAATCCAGCCACAAGCTGGAAGAACGAGATCTACTGATATAGGGTGGACCTTGGGACTGGTGGGAAAGGTTGGAGAGTATAACATATTCAGCTCAGTAGTGGAGATGAAAAGAGGCAACAGAGTCAAACTTAAGGGATTTCAAGGCAGGCAGACATGAGGCCAGAAATGAGACCAGCCTGGCCAGCTGAGGCATGAGAATTGCTTGAGTCCAGGAGGCGGAGGTTGCAGTGAGCCGACATCGTGCCACTCTACTCCAGCCTGGGTGACAGAGCAAAACTTGTCTCAAAAAAAAAAAACGAGATCGGATTTGGGGAGTGAGGGAGTATGGAGGTTTTGGGTTTGAACAATTTGGTGGCCTATTGTTTCAGGGGAGACACTAGAAGAGTGATCTACTTTGTGGGGCGGTAACATCGCCTTCCGTTTCCAGCGCTTTGTGGTGCCTGGAGATATCTGAGTGTAAATGCCAATAAGCCATTTGATGGATAGGTCTGGGGCTGGGAGTGGAAGGGCGGAGCATCATCAGTGTATGGATAGTATCGAAACCACTGTGACTGCCTGAGAGCATGTAAGACAGAACAGGGAAGGCGAGAGGGCCTGGGACAGCCCTGGGGAACACTGCCCAGCCAGAGGCCTTACACACAACCTAGATATGCAGAGCTGCCAGCATGCAGCACTTTGGCCGCAGAGGGCAGCAGCACAAGACATGGGTGTGGGAACGGCCTAAAGTCTGACTCCGGCCCCTTTTTGCCTACCCCTCTTCTGCCCAGCTGAGGAGCCTGGCCAGTGAAGTCCAGGACCTGCACCTGGCCCAGAGGAAGGAAATGGCCTCGGGTTTCAGCAAGGGGCCCACCCTGGGGCTGCTGCCCGACGTGCCCTCCTTGATGGAGACGCTCAGCCACAGTTACTGCTACGCGTGGGAATCATGACAGGTGAGTGGGCCTGCCCGAGCGCTCTGTCTCTCCACCGCCCTGAGTGCCTGTTCTGTGTTCCCGCCCTGCCTCGGCGACTTCCCCATCCTAGCATCTGCTGCTGTGAGGGCAAGCATGTCTGGGTCTACTGCCTCACGCCTCCGCTGACCAGAGCTGCTTGCAGAAGCTGGTCTAGCCTAAGTGATTCTTGCTCTTCTCTTCTCCCCAGCTTATGGGGAGCACAGAGAAGAGAGAAAGGAGGTAAAGATCTATGTCAACCTGATGTTGCTGCCCAGATAACAAATATTCATGGCTTAGGGTCCACTTTCAGTTTAAGGAAATATTTTTCATCTGGGTGTGGGGACTGACGCCTATAATCTCAGCACTGTGGGAGGCTGAGGCCAGAGGATGGCTTGAGGCCAAGAGTTCAAGATCCACTTGGCCAACGAGCAAGATCCCGCCCTTTATTTTAAACCTTATTTTAAAAAATAAATAAATATAAATTAAAAGGGCTGGGCGCAGTGGCCTACGCCTGTAATCCCAGCACTTTGGGAGGCCGAGACGGGCAGATCTCCTAAGGTCAGGAGTTTGAGACCAGCCTGGCCAACATGGGGAAACCCCATCTCTACTAAAAATACAGAAATTAGCCGGGCATGGTGGTGGGCGCCTGTAATCCCAGCTACTTGGGAGGCTGAGACAGGAGAATCGCTTGAACCCAGGAGGCGGAGGTTGCAGTGAGCCGAGATTGCACCACTACACTCCAGCCTGGGCAAAAGAGCAAGATTCCGTCTCAAAAAATATATATGTATGTTGGCCAGGCGCGGTGGTCTGTAATCCCAGCACTTTGGGAGGCCGAGGCAGGTGGATTACAAGGTCAGGAGATCGAGACCATCCTGGCTAACACAGTGAAACCCCGTCTCTACTAAAAATACAAAAAAATTAGCTGGGCATCGTAGGTACCTGTAGTCCCAGCTACCCGGGAGGCTGAGGCAGAGTAGAAGGCAGGGAACCTGGGGAGGCAGTTTGTAGGAGCCAAGATTACTTTCACTGCACTCCAGCCTGATGATAGAGCGAGACTGCGTCTCAAAAAAATGTATATATATTGTATACATATTTATATATATAATATGTGTGTGTGTGCATGTGTATATATATGTGTATATATGTATATATATGTGTGAAATTCAAAAAAATTTTTCACTAATGTTTACCTCCTATCAAAGTTTTTTCCACAACAGCTTTAGGAACTCTAATTCACTCCAGTCAATCCACTTTAAACATACAACTCTTGGCTTCTTTGATTTCTGAAAAAAGAAAAGAAAAGAAAAGAAAACCAACATACAACTCCTGATTTTTAGTCACATCCACGGAGTTGTGCAAACATGACTACTGTGTAGTGCATTTCAAACAATTTCTATGCCCTGCAAAGAAACCCCATATCCGTCATCCCCAAACTCTCCATCCATCCCCGAAACCAGTAATTGACTTTCTATCTGTAAAGATTTGCCTGTTCTATGCCATTGTACTTTACACATGGAATCACACAACAGGTGGTCTTATTTATTTATTTTAATTTTCTTTCTTTCTTTTTTTTTATTTTTAACTTTCCATGCTACATTGACTTCAACATATGGTCTTTGTGAACATACAAAAATTTTAACTCCTGGTCCTTCTGTGAATCACACTGCTTCCTCCCTAGGCCAGATCACCATCATGTTGTAGCTAAAGTTCCGCAGCTATCTCCTAGTTTCTTTCCTTCCTCCCTTCCTCCCTCCTTCCTCCTTCCCCTCCTTCCTCCTTTCCTGGCTGGAACGCAGTAGCACAGTCACTGCTCACTGCAGCCTAGGCTCAAAACGATCCTCCCGCCTCAGCCCCCCAGTAGCTGGGATTACAGGTGCCTCCACCACACCTAGCTAATTTCATTTTTGTAGTGATGGGGTCTTGCCGTTTTGCCCAGACTGGTCTCAACCTTGGGCTCAAGCAGTCCTCCCAGCTAGGCCTCCCAAAGTGCTTTGGGATTCCAGGTGTGAGCCCGCCGGCCCCCTTTCTAATTTCTGTCACTGTCTCTCTGTCTCTCTGAGTTTCTGTCCTCTGTCTCTGCTCCTTATCCCCATCTCTCTGGGTCTCTGTCCCTACCCTTGGGTCTCCCCGCGCCTGTGTCTCTGCCCCCCTCTCTCTCCCTCTTCCCACCTTTCCTCCAAGCTCCTCTCCTCCTGCAGACTAGAGCTCTGCCCACCTGCCTGTCTGACGGCGGCCCTCCTCCCGCCCACAGGCCCATTCTTCCGCCACCGCACTTACCTGGACTGGCTGGAGCAGCCTCCCGGGGCCGTGCCCAGCCTGCGTCCCTGCTGCGCCCGCCTGGCCGGGCCCCGCTCTTCGGCCTGCTGTTCCTGCTCTCCCACCTCTTCCTCGCTGGAGGCCGTGCGCGATCGCCTCTACGCCCGCCGCTGCCCGCCCCGCCTCTTCTACATGATCCCCGTCTTTCGCCCGCATGCGCCTTCACGTGGCCTGATTGCCGCCGCAGTGCGGCTGCATTGCCGCGGCTTTGGGCCTACCCGTGGCCGCTGCAAAGCCCGGGCCGGGGCGCCCCACCCTCCAATGCCCACCCCAGCAGGTCAGGTGGCGCGAGGGAGGCTTCCTGAAGACCCAGCAGCCCCACCTCCCAAGGTTGGTCTGCTCTACGGGAGGAGAGCGGGAGCAAGGGGCCAGGGCCACCATCTTTTGTTAGCAGAGTGTCGCCCTTGCAACCACGACCTGCCAGCTCTGTCGGTAGGGAAAGACCCCTGGTACTGACAGATGCTCCCCTTGTTGCTAGGGCGCTGTCACCTCCCGCAGCATGGTGAACTGCCCTCTGTCACAGGAAAAGGTGGTAACTTAGCAACTCTGTGCCATCCTCTGCTGCCACGGAAGTGTCACTCCCAGAACCAGGTTGTTCCTGCTTGCTGGGGATGCTATCCTCCTGGCAGTGGTGGGTCACTCCTCTGTTGCTAGGGAAACGGTTCCCTAGCAACGTGAACACTGCTGTTTGCTAGGGAAGAGGATCTCAGCAACAGTAGTTCACCTCTCTTTTTGCCAGAAGTTTGCTCTGTTGCTGCAGATATGGCCTCCTGCACTGCGCCCTTTGTTAGGGGGAGGGGAGCTAGCACTGCTCCATCCTCGCGGATATCCTCACATGGCAGCCCTCAGCTGCCCTCTGTTTGCAAGGAAATAGCAATTTCCAATCTCCGACCAGCGCTGTTCCCTAGCAGAGGGCATCCATTCCTACCAACTACGTTACACTGCTGCTAAGGAAGCCAAACCTCTCCCTGCAACTATGGGTTGACTCCTGTTGCCAGAGAGGCCTGACCCCCACCCCCAGCACCGGTATTGCAAGGCAAGCAGCACGCCATAGCTGTGGACTCTTGTGGCTGAGTGGCATTGCCCCCGTGTTGCTAGGAAATGGCACCCTCGCAACCAGGAGTAGATCGCCCTTGTGTTCCTCGCAGCTGCAGTCAGCTCTCCCCAGGGGTCATGGACTGCAGCTGGGGAACAGCCTGGCTGATGTAAATGATGAACTACTCCCTGCTAGGTTGTCCTCTAGTCGTCACCAACTGCTATTCTGCTTGTGGGGGTAGTGACACCCCCACGTGAATTTATTACCACTGCCCTAATAACCATGCTCTGACTTCTCCAGCTGCTAGAGAGACGATGTCCCCAGTGAACTGGGACAGGAATTGAAGGTTTTTCTAAATCTGCTGGGTCCCCACCCCTAGTTGATGGCTCCTCCCATCATCAGAGGCCACCAAGCCTATATGGGCCGCTTTCCCACTGCTGGGGCTGTCGGCACGAAAGGATTTAGGAACCACTGTATTGTTAGAAGTGACACTTCTCCAACAATCACTGCGACCAGGAAAAGTCCTTTCAAGAAAAGCCTTTCCAAACATCTCAGGCCTTGTTGCTGGCGAAGCCTTTTCCATAACAAAGATCATGGGGACCCCACTGGTGCCTGGAACATCTCCCTAGCAACCATGAAGCACCTTGTTATGAGGGTGATAATCACAACTTCCTAGCAACTGCAGTGTCCGACGATTTAGAAGGACCATCCTTGAGGCTTCTGAATATACTGAGTCATTGCTTAAAGGACTCATAGCTTAGCAACCATAGCCCTTCAAGGCTTTTCATGGCTGCGGCAGGCTCCACGATGCAGTACCAAAAGAAGAAGAAGCCCATTGTCAGTGAACTGTACCACCCGGCCCACCCATCGCCTCCCTCTCACAGGCACCTCTGGGCCACCTCCCTGTTGCCCTAGCAAGTCTGACAGCCAGAAGGTTGCCTGGCCAGGATCCCTTCCTTAGCATCCGGGCTGGGACACTAGCAGGCGTCAGGGAGGGGCCTGGCTGAGCTGCATGTCTGTCCTCTACCCTCATCCTCCACTCCCAGTCCGGAGGAAGGCGGCTTCCCCTGAGTATGACTATGAGACTATCCGGCACATCGACTGCTACGGCACAGATTTCATGCGGCGGTGCGCTGATGGCATGTGTACTGGAATATGACGGTGGTGGCTGGCGCAGTATATCTACAAGAGCGCACCTGCCCGTCTCATGTCCTGCGGTGAGTGAGTCCCACCAGCCTCGGGTGACACTGCAGAACTACATCACCCAGCAAGCCCCAGGGTAGCTCGCAGCTTCCTGGCTGGGCTCCCTGCCCCGGAGGCTCATGGGAGTTGTAGTTTGTTTAGCCTGGTTTTGCCCTGCCTCTGATTAGTGGCAGCATGCTGGTGTAAAACCATCCCGCCTCTCTGGGCCTCAGTTTCTACTTCTGTAAAGTCAGCCTCACTTGACAGAAGCAATGTACTGAGTCCTGTGGACTCAACAGCCAGCCTTCCTGGAATCTTGGCCATCCAGGTTATGGAGAAACCTTGAGGAGTTAGTTAACTTTAGTTGCCTCCCAAGGTTAAATGGAGTTAATGCTATTTATTACTGGTGTCATAGGTAGATAGAATGACTAAATGCGATAAAATGTGAAATGTATTTAATGTGAGGCCTGACAGGTAAGTGCATGCCATATATTCGTTTTATTGTTTTCAGTCTTCCAGTATTTCTTGAGTGGAGACTCTGCACTTGATATTGTTATCTGTGCAGCCTTTAGAAGCAGAAACTCAGGCCGGGCATGGCAGCTCGCGCCTGGAATCCCAGCACTTTGGGAGGCCCAAGCGGGTGGATCATGAGGTCAGGAGTTCAAGACCAGCCTAACCAGCATGGTGAAACCCTGTCTCTACTAAAAATGCAAAAATTAGCCAGGACGCAGTGGTGCGCACTGTAATCCCAGCTACTGGTGAGGCTGAGGCAGGAGAATCGCCTGAACCCAGGAGGCGGAGGTTGCAATGAATGACTCAAGATCATGCCACCGCACTCCACCCTGAGCGACAGAGCGAGACTTTGTCTCAAAAGAAAAAGGCCAGGCGTGGTGGCTCACACCTGTAATCCCAACACTTTGGGAAGCCGAGGCGGGCGGATCACGAGGTCAGGAGATTGAGACCATCCTTGTTTACATGGTGCAACCACATCTCTACTAAAAATACAAAAATTACCTGGGCGTGGTGGTGCACACCTGTAGTCCCAGCTACTCGGGAGGCTGAGGCAGGAGAATGGCTTGAACCCGGGAGGTGGAGGTTGCAGGGAGCCGAATCTTGCCACTGCACTCCAGCCTGGGCAAAACAGAGTGAGACTCCGTCCAAAAAAGAAGTAGAAACTCATAGCCAGGCGCGGTGGCTCACACCTGTAATCCCAGCAGTTTGGGAGGCCCAGGCAGGTGGATCACCTTGAGGTCAGGGCAATATGGTGAAGACCAGCCTGGGCAATATGGAGAAAACCCCTTCTACTAAAAATACAAAAAATTAGCCGGGCATGGTGGCGGGCGCCTGTAGTCCCAGCTACTCAGGAGGCTGAGGCAAGAGAATCACTTGAACCCAAGAGGCGGGAGGTTGCAGTGAGCCGAGGTCCCTGGGCAACAGAGCAAACTTCGTCTCAAAATAAAATAGCCAGGCCGAGCGGTGGCTCACATCTGTAATCCCAGCACTTTGAGAGGCCGAGGTGGGCGGATCATGAAGGTCAGAGATCAAAACCATCCTGGCTAACATGGTGAAACCCCGCCTCTACTAAAAATACAAAAAATTAGCTGGGCGTGGTGGCGGGCGCCTGTAGTCCCAGCTACTTGGGAGGCTGAGGCAGGAGAATGGTGTGAACTCGGAGGCGGAGCTTGCCGTGATCCAAGATTGCACTCCTGCACTCCAGCCTGGGTGACAGAGACTCATCTCAAAAAATAAAAAGTAAAAAAGCAAAAATTAATTAATCAATTAAATTAAAGGTGGAAGGGGGAAGACCCAGCAGGAGTAAGTTTTGGGAGGCATGATAAGAAACAGGGTCAGTTTTAGTCTGATTGACTTTGAGGTGACTATTAGGTTTCAGCTGAGGTTATTGGAAAAAGATGATTATGTGATTCTGACGCTTTAAGGGAGGCTGGGGCGCTCTAAAAGGGACGCTTGAGGGTAATCAGGTAAAATCACACTCTTTACAAATTTTTATTATTATTTATTGTTATTATTATTTCGATGCTCTGTCACCCAGGGTGAAGTGCAGTGGTGTGATCTCAGCTCACTGCAACCTCCATCTCCTGGGTTCAAACAAATGATTTTCTCATGCCAGAGTAGACGCAGGGTTCTCGCCATGTTGGCCAGGCTGGTCTCGAACTCTTGGCCTCAAGTGATCCGCCTGCCTCGGCCTCCCAAAGTGCTGGGGTTACAGGCATGAGTCACCATGCCTGGCCAAAATTTTTTTTAATTAATTTTTTTTTCACTTTTTAAAAATATAGAGAGATGAGGTTCTGGCTGTGCTGACCAGGCTGTTCAAACTCCTGCCTCAAGCAGTCCTCCCATCTCAGCCTCCCAAAGTGCCGGGACATGCTTGAGCCACTGCATCTGGCCAGGTATATAGATGATACTTAAAGCTCTGGGGCTGAGGCCATGGTCAAAGCCCAGAGCACCCCATGTTTACACAAGTCCTTCAACTGGGGGCAATTGTGCTGCTGCTGCACCCCAGGAGACACGTGGCAATACCTGAGACATTTTGTTTTAACTGAAGGTGCTAGTGAATGTAGTGAGGAGGCCAGGGGATGCTCCTAAACACCTTAAAATGCACAGGATTCATCCTTTTTGTTTATTTTACAGCTGAAGTGAAGTGGCATGATCTCGGCTCACTGCAACCTCCCCCTCCCGGATTCAAGCGATCCTCCTGCCTCAGCCCCCCTAGTACCTGGGATTCCAGGCACGTGCTACCATGCCAGGCTAATCTTTGCATTTTTAGTAGAGATGGGGTTTTGCCATGTTGGCCAGGCTGATCTTGAACTCCTGACCTCGGTGATCCACCTGCCTCGGCCTCCCAAAGTGCTGGGATTACAGGTGTGAGCCACCGCACTGGCCAGAGGTTTTTTTTTTTGTTGTTGTTGCTGTTTTAATCATCGGGTTACTTTTGTGCTTGTAGCACTCAGATGTGTCTGAGGGACAAGTTTAGTGACCACGATATGAAAGATCTCCTCAGGTCACCATCTGTGCAAAGCTCACTGATAGATACACAGATGGAGAGTGAGAGGGACAGCAATTTCTCTTGTCGCTGATAAAGATGGGGTGAGAGCCTGACTCTAGGTCTTCAAGGGCTAGGGAATTAAATTTACGGGTATATGAGGAGAGGGGACCAAAATCTGGGTCCCAAAAGAGAGGCTACCAAGGCTAGAGATTTCCGGAAGTCTTCAGGAGGCAGGAATTATATTCTGAATCCCTGAAGGAAGAAGAGGCTGGGACTCCTAATCCTGGGTCCTGGAGGGAAAGGATGGGAGGATTCTGGGTGGAGGGGATGAACTGGGCCCCAAAAGAAAGGAGTAGAGACTTGGCCCCAAGTGGAGGAAGGGGGACAGGCTTCCTAAATCCTGAGTTCCTGGGCGAAGAGGGGACCTGGGCTGTATAGAGGAATGGGAGGCTGGGGGTCTTGTTCTTTCTTTTTTTTTTTTTTGAGGCGGAGTTTCACTCTGTTGCCCAGGCTGGTGTGTAGTGGCACAATCTCAGTTCACTGCACTCTGTTTCGGGTTCAAGTGATTCTCCTCAGGTATAGGCTCCTAAGTAGTAGAGATTACATAGCGCCAAGAATAATGGGGCCAGCTAATTTTTGTATTCTTAGTAGAGACAGGGTTTCACCATGCTGGCCAGGCTGGTCTCAAATCAACTCCTGACCTTTTTTTTAAGACTGAGTCTCACTCTGTTGCCCAGGCTGGAGTGCAGTGGTGTGATTCAGCTCACTGTCTTCCACTTGGGCTCAAGTGATTCTCCTGCCCCAGCCTCCCGAGTAGCTGGGATTACAGGCACACACACACGCCCAGCTAACCTTTTAGCGGTAGCAGAGACGGGGTTTCATCGTGCCAGGATAGCCCGACCTCCTGACATCATGATCTCGCATCTCGGCCTCTCCCAGACAGCTGGGATTACAGGTGTGAGCCACCGCCTGGCTCCTTTTTCTTTTTTAATAGAGATGGAGTTTCACTATGTTGCCCAGGCTGGTCTTGAACTCCTGGCGCCAAGCAGCCTCCCACCTCAGCCTCCCAAAGTGCTGCGAGACAGGCGCCAGCTGTTGCCTCCAGCCTCCACACTCTTGAAGAACCAGAAAACCAGTGGTCCTCCCTTCTCAAAAAAACAGGACTTGGCCAGGTGCAATGTAATTCCAGTATTTTGGGAGGCCAAGGTGAGAGGATCACTTAAGCTCAGGAGTTCGAGACCAGCCTGGGCAACACAGCAAGACTCCATCTCTACAAAGAAAAAAAAGAGGCCGGGTGCAACGGCCCATGCCTGTAATCCCACACTTTGGGAGGCCGAGGCGGATGGATCACAAGGTCAGGAGATCAAGACTATCCTGCCAATGTGGGTGTGAAACCTCTATCTCTACTTTAAAAATACAAAACTGGCTGGGTACCGTGGCTCACGCCTGTAATCACACTTTGGGAGGCCGAGGCAGGCGGATCATGTCAAGAGATCGAGACCATCCTGGCCAACATGGTGAAACTCGCTTACCAAAAATACAAAAAATTAGCCTCATGGTGGCACATACCCGTAGTCCCAGCTGCTCAGGAGGCTGAGGCAGGAGAATCACTTGAACCCGGGAGGTGGAGGTTGCAGTGAGCCGAGACTGCGCCACTGCACTCCAGCCTGGGTGACAGAGCGAGACTGTCTGAACAACAACAAAAATACAAAAAATTAGCTGGGTTTGGTGGCACTTGCCTGTAATCCCAGCCACTTGGGAGGCTGAGGCATGAGAATCACTTGAACCTGGGAGGCGGAGCTTGCAGTGAGCTGAGATCGGGCCACTGCACTCCAGCCTGGGTGACAGAGCGAGACTCCATCTGCAAAAAGAAAAACAAAAAAACCCCACTGGGCTGAAGAATTAGACTTGCTGGTCCCGGGAGAGGAAGGGCAGTGAAACATAAAATGTTAAATCTTTTTAAAGGAGGAGAGGGCTCCCAGCAGGACTGGGTGAGTGTGTATGGGAGGCTGCTAGCTCCTGGATCCCTGAAGGAGACTCCATAGCCTCCTCCGCTCCGGAGCTAGGTCATGGTTCTGAGCAGGAGGGGCCTGGGCCTGGTCTCCTGGATCTGAGGGAGGGGTGGGGCCTGGGCTCTGAGTCTGAGGGAGGATGGCTGAGCCCCGGACTCTGGATCTGGGGTCAGTGGGCACTGGGACCTGACTCGCAGGTCCTGACTCCCCAGCCTCCCCTTCAGGAGCGCCTGACCATGCTGCTGAGCTTTATTTGGCACGGCCTCCACCAAGCATTACTCAGAGCTTCCTGACCATCCCTCTGTGCCTGGTTGCCGAGGCCGGCTGGAGCCTTCTGCGGGGGCGGTTGAGCCCAGGGGGCCAGAAGGCCTGGGACTGCACTGGTCTCTGAAGATGCCACGGCGACTACATGTGCATGGGCTTCATGGTTGCCTTTGGCCGACACGCTTCGGTACTGGGCCTCCATCTACTTCTGTATCCACTTCCTGGCTCCTGAGAAGCCCTGGGCTGGGTATTTTGGGGTGGGGGCAGCCTGCCGGCGGGGAAGGCAGCATCCCAGCCCACCAGCCTTGCTCCCGAGAAGCTCCGGGAGTAAGCTCCGTGACACTCCCTCTGCCAGCTGGTCCCGGGAATTCTGTGAACCAGGGCTGCTGTCTCCTCCCCAGAAAGAGTCTCACTTTGGAGAGGTCCTGGAGAGGCCCTCTTTTCCTCAGCTAAATACTCTGCCTGCAACTGAAGCAGACCCGGGGTGTCTTCCTGCCCTCTGCCCAGGGACCACCTCCACTCCTACAAAATCAAAGTTTTGTCCAGACAAGAGTCTCATGGGCCCCTGCTCCAGCTTCTGGGTATCCAGAGAGCGCTGCACTTCCCCAAACAGAAGGGGCCTTGGGCAGTGGGGTTTTGGACAAATTCCTTTTCTTTGTATCCACAATGGGGTCAGAGCTTGGGGGCAGGTCCTGGGAGTGGGAAGCCCTTCCTGTGTCTTTCGCTCCACTTTTAGCTCATTGCACCGACATTGGGTAGACTTGAAGGGAAGCATAAGCGCCCATTTCACAAAGGGGAAACTGAGATGCAGATGCGCTGGCCTGGGGACGGCCGGCCCCATGGCTTCCATCTGAGCCACTCCTCGGGCCCCAACGCTCCTGGAACCCTCTTCATCCCCCTTTGGCCTATGATAGTCACCATGTGTAATCTTCCTAATAAAGTGTTGCACAAAGGCATTGTGTCTGTGCAGGTATCTGGGTGATAAACGGCAGGAAGGACTTTTGGCCACGGTTCCAGGGAGGTACAGCTGCCCAGCCCAGGAACCAACTGGTCACACCTGCGGCACCAGAGGGACTTCAGCCCCAGGAGACCTTCGATCAGCGGCCCTGAGAAACTACAGGAAGTGTACTTACTCCCCTCCAAAGGGCTACCTGCTGGCCAGGCACACACACCTGCCCCGGGCCCTCCCTTACCTGGGCAGTGGTTTGCCTGGTGGCCGCTAGAAACAGCCCAGCCTGGGGCCATGGAAGAAAACTCAACCTTGAATCAAGCCTGGGGCTCCAGCGGGTGGCTGGCTCCCGGGAGCTCAGGAGGTGTAGGGATGCCAGGAGAAGCTCAGATCCATCTGGCCTTCAGGCTAGGGGAGTCCTGCTGAGGAAAGGGGAGGCCTGGCCTGCAGAGTCTGAGGGCCAGCAGAAGGTTCCACTTCCTGATATTATGGGGGAGAAAGGAACTCAAGGCTGAAACTCTGGGGTCTGAGGAGGAGAAGCCTAGAGAACCAGGCTAGTCTGGAAGGAGGGGAGGGCTAAAGGCTGGGAGTTTGGGTGTCTTGGGAATAGGAGAGGCTGGGTTCCCACACTTCTGAGCTAGAAGGAAAAGGAAGTTGAGGACTGGACTCCTCTGCCCTGGAGTAGGAGGGGTCCGCGCCTGGGGATGGAGTTGAGGATCAGGCCCCTGGGTTCCAGGGAGAGTACAGACTGGCACCCGGACTCCTGGGCCTGAGGGAGGAGGGGCTGGGGACCTGGTTTCCTGGTCTGAGGAGAGGCCGGGCCTGGACTCCGGGTCCAAGGGAGAGGAGCCGGGGCCTGACTCCTGGGTCCGAGGGAGGAGGGGCCGGGGCCTGGACTCCTGGGTCCGAGGGAGGAGGGCCGGGGCCTGGACTCCTGGGTCCGAGGGAGGAGGGGCCGGGGGGGCCTGGACTCCTGTCCGAGGAGGAGGGGCCGGGGCCTGGACTCCTGGGTCCGAGGGAGGAGGGCCGCCTGGACTCCTGGGTCCGAGGGAGGAGGGGCCGGGGGCCTGGACTCCTGGGTCCGAGGGAGAGGGGCCGGGGCCTGGACTCCTGGTCCGAGGAGGAGGGCCGGGGCCTGGACTCCTGGGTCCGAGGGGAGGAGGGCCGGGGGCCTGACTCCTGGGTCTGGAGGGAGAGGGGACTGAGGCCTGGTTTCCCTGGTCTGGAGGGAGGAGGAATTTGGGCCCAGACCCTGGGTCTTCCCAGCCCCCTGCTCCCTCCCCAGGCCCATCGCCAACCCTCTGTGCTGAGAACGAGCTGCCCAGTGCTGCCACTCCTTCGGTACCGAGGCCCTGGGGTGCTGCCTTGGGGGAAGCCGGAGGAGGAGGAGGAGGAGGCTGGAGGAAGGAGCAGAAAAGCCTTCACAGAAGTCACCCAGACGGAGCTGCAGGACCCTCACCCTTTCCTGAACTGCCCGGCCCATGCAGGCCAGACGTGACACAGGTGAGGCCTCACCTCCGCTGGGACCTGTACAGCCTGGACCGGGCTCCTTCTCCCATACTCTTGACGAGGTCTCTCCTCTGCTCCTCTGCCGCTCTGGCTTCTGGGCCTCTTCTGCCTCGCTTCAGGAGCTGCCTCTCTGGTTTCTTTTTTCCCCTCGTCTTTGTCTCTCCTTCGGACTCCAGGTGAGTGCTGCCTTTCCGTGGCTCTGGGATCTTCGCTGTCTCTGGGATTCGCTGCCTCCCTGGTCTCCTCTGTCCTGTCTCTGCTTCTCAGTTTTTCTCTGCATGTGTCCAAAATCTGTTAATATTTATTTCTCTCTGCTTATGTCTTTCCTTCATCTTTGCCTCTCCTTCAAAGCTTCCCTCTCTTTAACTTCTCTTCTTTTCCCATTCTCACGGTATAATTCGCAGGCCCGTGAACAATGAAAATGCAGGTGCCCTTCAAAATGATTGGCCCAGCGCGGTGGCTCACACCTGTAATCCCAGCACTTTGGGAGGCCGAGGCGAGTGGATCACCTGAGGTCAGGAGTTCGAGACCAGCTCTGCGAACATGGCTAAACCCCAACTCTACTAAAAATACAAAAATTAGCTGCATGTGGTAGCATGCCTGTAATCCCAGCTACTCAGGAGGCTGAGGCAGAGAATGGCTTGAACCACTGACATACAGGTCACAGGAGCGTAGATCGCCATTGCACTCCAGCCTGGGTGATAGAGCGGGACTCCATCTCAAATATAAATATATATATAGTATATATATGGAAAACAATAAAAACAATATATCACCAATTTCTGCTGATCAGTGGCGGATCGTGCCTGCAAATATATAGCCACTATACTCCAGCCTGAGCAACCTATCGAGACCCCATCTGTATCTTATTAAAAGTAATAATCAGGCCAGGTGCAGTGGCTCATGCCTGTAATCCCAGCACTTTGGGAGGCCGAGGCAGGCAGATCACAAAGGTCAGGAGGAGATTGAGACCATCCTGGCTAACACGGTGAAACCCCGTCTACTAAAAATACAAAAAGTTAGCCGGGCGAGGTGGCGGGCGCCTGTCGTGCCAGCTACTCACAGAGGCTGAGGCAGGAGGATGGTGTGAACCTGGGAGGCGGAGCTTGCAGTGAGTCGAGATCGCGCCACTGCACTCCAGCCTGGGTGACAGAGTGAGACTCCGTCTCAAAAAAAAAAAAAAAAAGAAAAGAAAAAAGTAATAAAGTACAATATGACAAAAAATACAAATTAAAAGAACAGCTATCTATCTAACATTTATCTTGTATGAGGTATTGTAAGTAATTCAGAGGTGATTGAAAGTGCATTGGAGCGCTGGGTGTAGGGGCCCACACCTGTAGCCCCAGCACTTGGGGAGACTGAGGCGGGAGAATTTGCTGAGCCTGGAAATTTGAGGTTGCATTGAGCTTATGATTGCACCACTGCACTCCAGCCTGGACACCAAAACGAGACGCTGTCTCTGGAAAAATCAGATAAAAATAAAATAAAATGGAAAACCACAGAAGGATATGTGTGTAGCCTGGGTATGCAAATACTATGCCATTTTATATACAGAATTTGGATATTACAGATTTCAGTATCCTTGGGGAGTCCTTGAACCAACCCCCATGGATACTGAGGGACAACTGTATTTATAAAGTGAAAGCCCAGATAAACTCCAGCTAGGTAAGCGATACAGCATGACAGCACCCTGTGCGTCCCTCCTGATACCCTTTCTCCTCACGAGATGGTAACCTTCTCTAACCTTTTTTTTTTTTTTTTTTTTTTTTTTTTTTGAGACAGAGTCTCGCTGTGATGCCCAGGCTGGAGTGCAGTTGTGTGATCTCAGCTCACTGTGCCTCTAACACCTGGGCTCAAGCTGATTCTCCCACTCCAGCCTCCCCGCTTCTGTGTAGTTTGCCAGCTCTGTGCTCTGCAACTTTGTACAAAATAGAATCATGCAGGCTTCAGTCTTCTGTGCTGTTTCTTCTGCCTAGCATTGTAGCTTCCTTCTTTCTTTCTTTTTCTGAGAAGAATCTCATTCTGTCACCCAGGCTGGAGTGCAATGGTGCCATCTTAGCTCACTGTACTCTGTCTCCCAGGTTCAAGCGATTCTCCTGCCTCAGCCTCCCCAGTAGCTGGGATTACAGGCGCCCACCACCAGGCCCAGCTAAATTTTTTTTTTTTTGTATTTTTAGTAGAGGCAGGATTTCACCATGTTGGTCAGGCTGGTCTCGAACCCCGGACCTCAGATGATCCACCTACCTTGGCCTCCCAAAGTGCTGGGATTACAGGCGTGAGCCACCGCACTCAATTGGTTTGTTTTTTATTGCCACAGAGTATTCTATCTTATGTATAGGCCACAAGTTACTTCTCCGTCTCTACTTTTGGGTTGTTTCCTCACATCTGGATGGTTCCCAGTCTGGGGGCTGCAAACCCCTCATTTTTCTACCTCTTCCCTCCCAGGCAAAGAAATGCCAGGACCAGGTGATCTATATTCTGGAACTAGGACGGACTAATGGGCGCGACTACTCGGAGGTCCAAGGAGAAACAAGGAAGGCTTGCAAAGCCTGCAGCCCTGGTCATGGACACTGAAGAGGATCGGGGTGCGGGGTCTGGTGATGTCCTGGGGGCAGGGCCTGACTCCTGGGTCTGAGGGAGGAGGGGCTGTGGACAGACTTCTGGGTCTGAGGGAGGAGGCTTGGGCCTGGATTTGGGTTCTGAGGGAGGAGTGGGCTGGGCTCTGGACTCCGGATCTGAGGGAGAAGGACTGGATCTGGGGTCTGAGGGAGGAGGGGCTGGGGCCTGCACCTTTGGGTCTGAGAAAAGGCACGGCTGGGCGTGAGCTGCTCAGGTCTGTAATCCCAACAGTTTGGGAGGCCGAGGTGGGTGGATCACCTGAGATTAGGAGTTCGAGGCCAGCCTGACCAACATGGTGAAACCCCGTCTCTACTAAAAACGCAAAAACTGAGCATGGTGGCGCGTGCCTGTAGTCCCAGCTACTGGGGAGGCTGAGCTAGGAGAATTGCTTGAACCCAGGAGGCGAATGTTGCAGTGATTCGAGATCGCGCCACTGCACTCCGGCTCAAGGGTAGAGCGAGACTCCGCCTCAAAATAACAATAACAATAATAATAATAACAATAATAATAATAATAATAATAGAAAGAAAGCAAGGCACGGCTGGGCCCCAGTGCCGGGATGGGAGGAGCTGGTCCTGCTCCTGGGAAGGAACCTGAGCCTCTCTGCTGCCCCTGCAGGCCAGTTTGGCGCGGCACCGAGTCCTACTTCTCCTGCTGCGCTCCCTCGCTCCTCCCTCAACGTGCTGGCCTCTGTGCTTATGGCCTGCATGACGCTGCTGCTCATCTTTGGCTGGGAGGCGCTCCCCAGGCCCTCCCTGGCTCCAACACCTCCTCGCCCTGCGGCTCCTATAACCCCCACCCTCAGGGCCTGGTCACCTTTGCCACCCAGCTCTTCAACTTGCTCTCAGGAGAAGTAGGTGCCTGGGGCCCTGGAGTTTCCCCCGCCCACCCGTGAGCCCAGTGCCTTCAATGACATGAACTCAAACTCCTGACCTCAGACTCTGACTGTGCAGCTCAGAGCCCCCGCCTCCTCCCACAGTGGCCCTCACACGCTTTCCCCACAGGGTTACTCTTGAATGGTCTCCCTCTATGGTTTCTACCCGCCCGCCCACGCCTGGCGGTCACCACCTGTGCTGGGCCTTGCCGTTGGCTTCTCTTCCCATCCTGCCTCCTTTGCTCATCCTGCATCGGGTCAGTGGCACCTGCACCCTGACCCCGTGACGGACGGCTGGGGTAGGGAAGCAAGTGGTGGTGGCAGAAACTCCTCCCCAAGAATCTCTCAGTCTTATGTGTAACCTTTCTTCTGTGTGAGTTCAAATCAAGGTTTTGTGCCGGGCGCAGTAAGCCACGCCTGTAATCCCAGTACTTTGGGAGACCGAGGCTGATCAGGAGGTCAGGAGATCGAGACCATCCTGGCTAACATGGTGAAACCGTGTCTCTAATAAAAATACAAAAAATTAGCCGGGTGTGGTGGCGGGCGCTAGTCCCGGTTACTCCGGGAGGCTGAGCCAGGAGACGGTGTGAACCCGGGAGGCAGAGCTTGCAGTGAGCTGAGATCTGCCACTGCACTAGCCTGGGCGACAGACAGACTGTCTCAGAAAAAAATAAAATAAAATAAAATAAAATAAAATAACGGGTTTTGGATTTTTTTTTCATTTGTTTTTGTTTGTTTTTGAGACAGTCTTACTCTGTCGCCCAGGCTGGAGTGCACGATCTTGGCTCACTGCAACCTACACCTCCCGGGTTCAAGCGATTCTACTGCCTCGGCCTCCCAAGTAGCCAGGCAGGTGAACGGCCAAGCCACCAGCATTCCAGGCAGAGGGAGCTGCAAATGCCAAGGCCATGTGGTAGGAAAGAGGTTTGAGGTGTTCTGAGAAATAAAAGGCCTGTATGAGAAGCAGCAGTGGCAGGCCAGTCATGTGGCTCATGCCTGTAATTTCAGCTTTTTGAAAGGCTGAGGCGGGCGGATCACTTGAGGTCAGGAGTTTGAGACCAGCCTGGCCAACATGGTGAAACCCCATCTCTATTAAAAATATGAAAAGTAGCTGAGCATGGTGGCATAAGGCCTGTGGTCCCAGCTACTTGGGAAGCTGAGGCAGGAGAATCAGTTGAACCTGGGAGGCAGAAGTTGCAGTGAGCCAAGATCGAACCACTGCACTCCAGCCTGGGCAACAGAGCAAGACCCTGTCAAAAAAAAAAAAAAAAAAAAAGACAGGATTTAAAACTCTGAGAAGTACAGAAGAGCAGACTGTGTAGGGCCCTGGCAGGTTATGCTAGGAAGAAGTCTCGGTTTTTTGGAGACAGAGTCTCGCTCTGTCGCCCAGGCTGGAGTGCAGGGGTGAGATCTCAGCTCACTGCAAGCTCCGCCTCCCGGGTTCACGCCATCTCCTGCCTCAGCCTCCCAAGTAGCTGGGACTACAGGCGCCCACCACCTTGCCCAGCTAATTTTTTTTGTATTTTAGTAGAGACGGGGTTTCACCGTGTTAACCAGGATGGTCTCGATCTCCTGACCTCGTGATCTGCCCGTCACGAAAAAGTGCTGGGATTACAGGCGTGAGCCATGGCGCCTGGCGTGCCTCCCCGTCTCTTTGACTCTTTACCTGCCATCTTCTCTGGGTCTCTGTTCTCTCTCTTCTCGGTTCTCCCGCCCAGCCCCTTCTGTGCCTGTACTTATGGGTCTTTGACCCCATCTTTTGTAGATTTAGTTTCTCCTTCCCTCACTGTCTTTGTCTCCCTTTCGACCCCCTCTGGGGCCCCTCCTGTCCTCCTCTTACATCTCTCTGTCTTCCCCAGGGCCTCTGTCCCTCTACCTGGGTTTCTGCCCCCTTCGCTCCGGGCTCTGTCCCTGTCTCCTAGGTTTCTGCTTTCTCTGTGGGGTGCCTGTGCCCCAATCTGTCTCTGAATCTCCCTTGACTTTGCCTTCACGATTGTAGGTGTTCCCTGCCTCTTTGACTCTTTCCCCAACTGGTGGCAGCTCCCCAGTACCTAAGGCCTTAGGTTCGCCTTCCCGTTGGTCCTAACATGAAGGATGCCCCCATAACCCCCGCTCCTGGCTGTCTCTTTCACATCCCGTCTCTCTCAGCTCGTGTCCGGGCTGAAGCAGACACTGCTGGCGGAGTCCGGGATCTGACCAGCCACAGCCACCGGGTGTTCTCGGCCTGGAACTCTGCCTCATGAGGCCCACGCAGTGGCTGCGCCAGCGCATTATCTTGCACGAATTCACAGGTGCGATTAGGGGCGGTCTGCAACGGGTAGGGGACCAGACTGAACCGGGCTGAGATAATTGACAGGCCTAACCTGCAATGGGCCTCCTGGAGAGACGCTAGGCAGCTCCTTCTCCAAGAAAGGCCAGTCCTGGGGAATGAGAGGGTTGAGAGGAGGCCGCGATAGGGCTGCCCGAGATCCAAGGGTGTAGGAAAGGATGCGCCAAGGCTGGGATCGGTGGCCTTGCGTTCGTAACCCCAGCACTTTGGGAGACCGAGGCAGGTGGATCGGGCGGAGTCTAGGAGTTCGACACCAGCCTGGGCAACATAGGGAGGCTGCCTCTCTACCAAAAAAAAAGTAAGCACAAGAAGCGGGCGGGGCTTCTTTAAGGCAATTTGTCTGTAAAGTTATGATGGGAGTGACAGCGGGGCGTCTTGATATACATGAACTGGAACTTCAGGCCAGGCATACAGGCGCGCAGGCTGCCTGGGGGCGGAGCCTCTGATGGGCGGGGCTGACTAGGGCGGGTCTTGGGGCGTTGGCGGAGCTGGGGCGGCCCGGGGTGCTGAGATTGGCCGCGCAGGGATGGGGGCTGGGGTTGCTGATCCGCCGCTGAGGGGCAGGGCCAAAGGGCCACTGGTTTCTAGAGTGCCTGGAGCGGGGTGGAACCGGGACTGCAGAGGTTGTTAGCCGGGTGGGGAGAAGGATGCATCAGTTCACGCTTGAGGAGGATCTCTGGAGAGCCTGGGAACCCAGAGGCCAGGCCTTTGGGAAAATGGAGTCCAAGCGGGCATCTCTCGTGCCTTCAGGTGGAGCTGGAGGAGACAGTGGTGCGGCGCCAGGCTGCTGTGCGGACTTCTGGGCCAGGAAGCCAGGGTTTGGCTGGTGCGGGTGCTGCCTGAACCTGCTGGGTGATCAAGCACCTTGGGGAGCCTTCATGGCATCTACTGGGCTACAGGAGAGCACCGCATGCTGCAGGTGCGAGGATCTTGAAGAGGAAGCCGGGGGTCCTGGAACCTACATTTCCAACGATGGAGGGAGGGAATGTTTGGGATGCCAGAGATCTTACAGAGGAAGGCTAAGGGAGAGGGCATGCTGGGACTCCTGACTTCGGGTTTTGAAGGAAGAAGAGAGATCAGGCGGTAGCTCACGCCTGTAATCCCAGCACTTTGGGAGGCTGAGGTGGGGACTACGAGGTCAGGAGCCCGAGACCAGCCTGACCAACATGGCGAAATCCATCTCTCCTAAAAATACAAAATTAGACGGGCGTGGTGGTGCACGCCTGTAATCTCAGCTACTCAGGAGGCTGAGGCATAATCACTGAACCAGGAGGCGAGGCATGTGGAGCTGCAAGATCACCATCTGCATCTCTGGTTTAGTGACAGAGCCAGATCCCACTGTGGCACAACAAAGAATAAAACAAAATAGCCACAAAGAGGTGAGGCTCAGTAGACCTTCAGTCGTTCTCCAGGACCTGGCTTCATTCAGCAGTCCACCCTCCATGAGATTCCTGAAACAAGAAAAGTCCTACCTGTTAAACAGAAATTACCTTCCGCCCATCTTCATCGCTGTGGTCAACTTTGTGCTGCCGCCCGTGTTCAAGCTCATTGCTCCACTGGAAGCACTAGAAGTCGCCAGATCGCTTTTATCCTGATCAGGTTCCACTCATGGGGATGGCTGGGAATGATGGAGGGCCGGGGCGGTCAGGAGGGATGTTGGCGCTGACAGGTAAGACAAGGAAATCCTGCTGATATCGGATCCAGGATCAAATCCTGACTCCGCTGGCCAGGCGTGGTGGCTCTGTGACCTGTAATCCCAGCACTTTGAGAGGCCGAGGCTGAGAGGCCGAGGCTGAGGTCAGGAGTTCAACACCAGCCTGACAAACATGGTGAAACCCTGTCTCTAGTAAAATACAAAAGTTAGGCCCGGGCGATAGTGGCTTCTGTAGTCCCAGCTACTCGGGAGGCTGAGGCAGGAGAATCGCTTAAGCCTGGAGGTAGAGGTGAGTGAGCTGAGATCGCGCCACTGCACTCCAGTCTGTGGGCAAGTGACCCTGTCTAAAAAAAAAAAAAGAAAGAAAGAAAGAAAGAAACTTGACTCTGTCGCTGGGCCTCAGCTTCTTCTATCTGTGAGAGGGGCTTGAATGTTGAATGCGAGCGCTGCCCACGGAGAAGGGACTGCCACGTGGTGGGTACCGGATCAGGGCTCCATTCTCTGCCTTCCCCGCCAGACCGTGCTTCTTCGCCTGGCCTCCCTGGTGGTCCTGCTCTTCTCTCTCTGGAAACAGATCACTTGTGGGGGCGACTCCGAGGCTAAGGACTGTAAAACTTGTGGCTACAATTACAAAGAACTTCCAGAGAACGGCATGGCCCTGCCTGGGACTCCTGGGTCCCTGAAGGAAAGATGGAGCTGGGTGGGTCCAGACTCTGTTTGGGCGGAGGGGAGCTCAGGATGCTGGAACACTCTCCCCATGGGTATGAATGTTTGAAAAACGAGGACCAGAGAAAGCATTGACAGGGTCTCATAGGCTTGCGATGTGAGACGGGACGCGTGGGCCTCCAGGTGGCTGGGTCCTGAGGTCTTTCTGACCTATTTCTTCCTTCTTCAGTGCTGGGAGACTACTGTCCTTGGGCCAGGAAATGTACAAACTTCTGCTCTTTGATCTGCTGACTGCCTTGGCAGTCGCGGCTGCTCATCCAGTTTCCTAGAGTGAGAGCCCTGCCTCTCGCTGTGGCCCTGCCCTACCAGGGACCAGGCCCTGCCCCATCGCGCTGTTCTTTTCACCGTGCACCTTTTACTGTTCCTGCCTCTGCCGGCCTCTTTGCTTGCTCCTAGGTCCGGGCAGTTCTCCCCACTCCGCCCTTTGTTTTATGGGTTACTTCCCGTGGCCCCGCCCCTACCGCCGTGACACTGGTCCTGGGCCCAGTCCTCTGACACCTCTCCACGTGGAGATTGAAAGTCCCGCCTCCTCAGATAGCTTGTTTTTATTGGCGGGTAGGGCGGTGGAGGCGGGAAACTTCCAAGTAGCTGCGCCCCCTGACTCCCGCCCGGCCCCCGCCCTCTGCTCCCGTCCTTCAGGCTCCTCTGTGGCTCTGTCCTGGGGCGCTGGTCAGGTGGCGGGGACCCAGGAGTTCCAGGTGCCCGACGAGGTGCTGGGCTCATCTACGCGCAGACGCGTGGTCTGGGTGAGTTTTTTCTGCCTCTTTGCTGCCCCCTAAGCACACGGTCAAGTTCCTGCTGCTTTTCTACCTGAAGAAGGTAAGGGGTAGGAGGGGACTCTTGGGTCTGAGGCAGGAGGTGGCTGGGGTCTGCACTCCTGGGTCCTGGGCAAGGAAGATCACGGGGGCCTGGATTACTAGGTCCTAAGAGAGGAGGGGTTGGAGGACAGACTCCTGGATCTGAGAGAAGGAGGAGTCTAGGGCATCTCTGACTTCTATGTCTGAGGCATCCGACTTAGACCTGGGTCCTAGATGAGGAAGGCTCAGACTCTGGTTCGGGAAAAAGGAGAGGCGGGTAGGTCAGGTGCGGTGGCTCACGCCTGTAATCCCAGTACTTTGAGACTGAGGCGGGCTGATCACCTGAGGTCAGGAGTTTGAGACCAGCCTGGCTAACATGGCAAAACCCCGTCTCTACTAAAAATACAAAAAAAATTTAGCCGGGCTTGGTGGCGAGCGCCTGTAATCCCAGCTACTTGGGAGGCTGAGGCAGGGGAATTGCTTGAACCAGGGAGGTGAAGGTCGCAGTGAGCCTAGATCGCGCCACTGCACTCCGGCCTGGGCGACAGAGCGAGGCTCCGTCTCAAAAACAGAAAACAAACAACAGTGGAAACAAATTAGCCGGGAGTGGTAGCACACCTGCAATCCTAGCTACTCGGGAGGCTGAGACACGAGAATAGCTTGAACTCCGGGAGGAGGCCTGCAGTGAGCGCCACTGCACTCCGCCTGGGCGACGTGCGAGACTGTCTCAAAAAAAAAAAAAAAAAAAAAAGAAAGGTACAGACTCTGTGTTTCAGATCCCCTTTCTCCGTGCCTTACTCCCACCAGCTTACCCTCTTCTCCACTCTGCTCTCCGGCTGCCTGCACCTCTCCGGCCTCCACGGCGAATTTCTTTTTCCCCTTGGTTCTTCTCCTGGGTCTGGCCATCTCCAGCGCTCCCCTGCTTTACAGCATCTTCTGTAAGGAGGTTCCCGCCTCCCCCTCCCTCTCCCATTCAGTGTTGACTCCTGCTCTACGTGAGCCCAGCCTGTCTTGGACTTCCAGGATCCCGCCTTCTAAGCCGTGGGTGGTCCATTCCTGGGGCAGTCAAGCTCATCTGGGCCCAGATCCCCGAAGTCTATTTCCAGCCTCTTGAGACCACCCAGAACTTCCTTCTTCCTGGGGACTCCAGGCTTTGCTGCGCCCTTCTGCTGATCTCAAGGTGCAGGTGGGCCAGACTTCTGGTCTGGGTTTGAATGCAGGGATCTGGGGCCACTACCTGCGTCCAAGAGAGGAAAGGCTTGGGGTGGGAGCAGGCAATGTACTGAGTCTGAGGAGGAGGCTCAGGCCTCGGACTGCTGGGTCCGAAGGAGGAGGTGGGCGGGACTTAGGACTCCTGGATCTGAAGGCGGAGGTGCTGGGAGACTGAACCCTGCTGAGCCTGGACGAGGAGGGGCCGAACCAGCATCCCTGACTTCGAGCGTGTCAGAGTGGCTTCCCGTCTCTGTCTCCTCCAGCATCCTGATGGCGTACACTGTGGCCTGGGCCAACTCCTACGGACGTCTCATCTCTGAGCTCAAACGCCAGAGAGAGACGAGAGCCAGTATGGTCCCCAGAGGGCTCCCCTGGGAACACGGAAGGGGCTGGGGGAAGAGGGCTGTCACACTCCACCTCTTCTTTTATTTCAGGAGGCGCAGAATAAAGTCTTCCTGGCACGGCGCGCTGTGGCGCTGACCTCCACCAAACCGGCTCTTTGACCCCCGCAGCTCACGTCCCACTTTCATACCCCAGGCCCATTGTAAGCCTAGGTCACAATATCTGTAAACTAGGAGAACTGGGAGAAGACTCACGCCCTTCCAGCTTTGGTATCTGAGATTTCCAGCCCTCGCCGCTACGTCCCTGACTCTCGGGTGATCTTTCTTGTATCAATAAATACAGCCGAGGCTGCTGAACGCGCTTTGAAATCTGCGTCCGAAGGTGGGGCAGGGCTACTGCAGGGCAGGAGCCAATCAAAATGTAAGGGCATGTTTGTCGGTGCGGAGCGCACTTCTCCGCAAGGAGATTCTGACGGTCATGTCGACCTCAATCGACGGCCGCATCTGGTAGCATCAGGGGCGGGGCCAACTTATGATTGGTTCAGATCTGTACAAGAGGCGGTTGCTAGGGATACCACGAGCGAACGCCTAACATTCGCTGTGAGTGCTGACGTTCACCTGTCGTTACAGGCCAGGGGGCCGTACCAACTACCCGGAACCAATCTGTGGTCGAAGTAGGGACAACAGGAGGGGGCATCCGCCAATCGGAAGTGCAAAGCGGCGGGCGTGCCAGTCCCTGGACAGCTACGACGCTACGAATATCTTACCAAGAAGAGCTGGCACGTCCGGAACAAGGATACCGTCGCCTGCGTGCGGCGTGACGAGGCCCAGGCCCGGGAGGAGGAGAAGGAGCGTGAGCGGAGGGTGCTGCTGGCTCAGCAAGAGGTAAGCTCAGAGGCCAGCCGGGCGACCGCCGGAGCCCATGCCACGCGCTGCGTTTGGGGGCCGGAAGCGGAGGCGTTGCGCAGGCTCAGTGTGCCCCGTGTGAAATTCGGGACCAGGCGCCGATCCCGTTTTCGAGGACGTTGCTCTGCAAACCTTGTGGCCACTTCCACGAAACCTCCCTTGATCTCGCCTTCGTCTTAGTTTCCCCCACCGATGTATTTCACATGGCTGGAACAGTGTCTAGCACAAAAGAGGAGCTTAAAAACATTTGATGAATACATGAGCGCTCGACAGTCTGGCGAAATTCGGATCACTTTTTTAGTTTGCCTTGCGCAGCCTATTTATTGAGCACTCATTGTATGCTAACTACATGCAGAGCGCCTGACTTGCGGAATCCCCAATAGGCACTGTTCCTTCTTAGAGGGGCACTGTCATCTCCGTTGCACGGAGTGAGATGGCTTCAGTGAGGGAAGGCACATTTAAGGAGAGGGGACAGCCAGGCTCCACGCCATCGGGGCGAGCCCCTTTCCTGGGCACTGCCTCTAGACACATACACAAACGCGGCTTTCTGTATGGCTCCTTAAATCTGTCTGGTGTACACCTAACTTCAGTTCCTTAGCTAGTCTGATCCTCCACAGTGGGTGGGAGGTAGTCTGGTTTTAGAATTCAGCAGGCTGCTGAGCGCTGTTTGAAATCCTCGCGTCCTGAAGGCGGGGATACCAGCAGTCGACTTGGGGTAGTGACTTGGAGCCATGGCTAGAACTAGATCGTCTGGCCTAATGCAGTTTGGTCTACCTTATGGCGGTTTTAATTGTCTCTACTTGAGGTTAGAACTCCCTTGGCTTTAGGCCAGGGACTCCTCCCAGCCATCCTTGATGACCCGTGGGTTTGATGATTTGAAAGGCAGTTTACAAAACCTGGCGTTGCCTTTCATCTGCCTACTCCTCACCCCCAGCCAGACAGGTGCTCAGCGCCAGCGCCCTTCTCACAACCCTGCACCTGACCTCATTCTGTGGCACCAGACTCAGCTCTTAACCACTTAGGTTCTGAATGTCTACCTATGACTTTCTCCTCAGCCCACAGAATTCCCAGGTACGAAAGAAAGCCCGATGATTTGAACTCACTGCCTGAGCTTAGCAGAGGCGTGGAAAGCCCAAGTTCTGGCCCTCCTGTGGACTCGGTTTCTGGAGTTGCTGGGAGGAAGGAAAGAGTGATCAGAGGCAATAAAGAGTACTTATATAAAGAAAAGCGACAGGAGAAAGTAAGCTGGCCTCACCCACTTCATTAGAGGAGCCATGAATCGAGTTGGGGGAGAGGGGGCACTTAGCCACTGCTTGTGATCAAGGTCAAATGAGAAGGAACACACAGAATTTAGAACTATACTCAAAGCATGACACTTAAGAAGTGTTGGCATCTGGGTACCCACAGGGCTTGGAGGTAGATGCTAGAGGTCCCCAGCTGCTAGGCAAACTGCCTGGGTTCTCAAAACTGAGGGGTCTGAAAACTCTGATGGGCTTTTAAAAATGTAAATCAGCCAGCTGTGGCTCATGCCTGTAATCCCAGCACTTTGGGAGGCTGAGGCGGGTGGATCACCTGAGGTCAGAGTTCAAGACCAAGCTCACAAACATGGCAAAACCCCGTCTCTACTAAAAATACAAAAATTGGCCGGGCATGGTGGTGCGTGCCTGTAATCCCAGCTACTAGGGGGGCTGAGGCAGGAGGATTGCTTGAACCTGGGAGGCAGAGGTTGCAGTGAGCCGAGATGGTGCTACTGCACTGCCTGGGCAACAGAGAGAGACTGCATCTCAAAAACAGGCATGAGCTCTTGTCACTCACCTGCTGTCTCTGGACTTGCTGACCCCCGCTCCTGCTTTGTTTGATCCCTTCAGGCTTTCAAGTCTCTCTGCAAAAGATGCCTGCCTCTGAACACTTTAAGGGCTCCACTTTGTCCCCTCCTTCCCCTGCTGTTACTGTACCTGCCACTGCCCCCAGGAACTTGGCCTCTGCTGGTGTCTTCCATCCCCAGCACCTGGTACAACTGGACTGTGATAAGCCTTAGGTACCTGTTTGCTGCAGGATTCCCTATCAGGGAGACACACCTGACACCTTCAAAGATTATATCCCAGCTCTTGTATTTCCTGGCCCCCAGAGAGGCAAGAGAAAGCTCTGGGGCATCCTGACGTACCTGGCCAGAGTGCAGCAGAGGTACAGACTCAACCCCCTTGGTACCAGCTACCCCGGAGCGAGGGGGCTCTGCCCGCCCAGCCCCAGATGAGAAGATCAAGAGCCGGTCTGACCTTCTTCGAGATGCAGAAGCATCTGGGGAAGAAGAGACAGCACAGCGGTGAAGGCAATTGCAGCAGAAAGGAAAAGAAGGAGGGGTCTGAGAAGCAGCGACCCAAGGAGTAAGAAGGAAGACCTCCCCGCAGACCAGGGTCCAGACTTCAGGGGCTTGGCAGTAGCCTAGCATGGCCACTGTAGGGTCTCTGGTCAGGACAACCAGGACTCGGGGTGAAGGGCTGGCTGGGTGAAGTGGTTCCAACATGTGGTCCAGGAAGCCCCAGGGTCCTGGGCCACCCTTTCCCCTGGGTGCTGTGGTATCAAGCCTATTTTCCTAACACTGTTGGCCTTTTCACTGCATTCTCAGGCACATAGTGCAGGTTTCCAGAGGCTGTGTGATGAGAAGACACTGCTCTGATGGCTGATGGCACAGATGCTTGTGTCCAAACTTTCTTAGTTTTCATCGATTTGCAGCATATTAACAGGTAGAATCTATTTAAACAAAAAGCTCTTAGGGTCCTCAGTTTTGTAAGAGTAAAGGGTCCTGAGACCAAACAGTTTGAGCTGCTGTTAAGACAGTAAAAGCAGGCTTTGTCTCCAGGATGCTGTACCCCTGGTCTAGGAGGGTACACTGCCTGTACTCTTTCTCTAGAAAGGGAACCAGCCCAGAGAGGGCCAGGGGGCTGCTCATTGTGCTTTCTTGATCTGGAGGAGCATCAGATTTGAAGACTGGGGAGGACCAAAGTCCACAGAAGGAAGGCCAGAGACGTTGCCTTGGTGTCCCAGCACTGCCAAGTTTCTTCCAGAAGGCCTGAGAGCTGAGGCTGGGGCGTACTGGATGCAGCAGGGCTTCCAGGCGGCAGCCCTCTATGGGAGAGGTTGGGGGAATGGCCCTCCTAGGAGGCTACTAGCTTTCACCTCACTCCTCTCCCCCGCAGGCCTCCATCCCCTGACCAGCTTCGAGCTGAACGTGTGTTCGGAGGGAAGCAGCTGGAGAGGCTCGGGCAGAGCCCGGCTGGCCCGGGTCCAAGGCCGGGCACCACAGGAGGGTCAGCCGAAGAAGAGACAGATGACCGGAGGCGGCAAACAACTCCCCAGTTCCAACTCCCCCAGCTGGTCTCGGCGCCCGCCAGCAGGACTTCTCTACTTTGCTCATTGACTCCTGAGGGGGTACAGGAGAGGCCATGCCAGGGGCCGGCCATATAAAACTATTTATTCATAAATATTTTCCAAAAATGAAAATAGGTTTGGATAAAAATGTCCCTCACTGGGGAGGGAGGAGGGGGCAGCCTCGCCCCGGCCCCCAGGGTGTGGGGCTGAGAGGAAACCTCCCAGCCCCCTCCCTGCTTCCTGGGAGAGAGAGGGATGCCCTGCCTGGGGGCCTCCCTCCAGTCTTCCTCCAGGGCAGGCCTCACCGCAGGGATTGGGGGCATGCGGGGAAGGGGGTGTGGGTAGAGGGAGGGCCGGGTGGCCACCAAGGTCCCGGTCCTCCAGGTAGCGGTACTCAAAGGTGAAGCCTTCCTTCTTCCGCTGGCCCCACTTCTCGTAGTCAAAGTAGATGTAGGTGCCCTGGCCGGGGGAGAAGGCGGTCAGTGAGTGGACGAGGAGGTGGTCTGGGATCTGGGCCGACCGACAGACAAAGTGGGACAGTTCTTAGGGCTGTAGGTGTCAGGCACCGGGCCAACTGCTCCTGCACGCGCACACCCACTCCACCCTCACAAGGTTCTTCTTTTTCTTGCAGGGAAATATTATTATGCCACTTCAGCGCAGGGAGGAACGGAGGGGGCCGCAGAGGTTCCACCGAAGCCAGCTGCCAGAGCGGGGCCCCCGCGCCCTGGCAGCACCAGGCGTGAGTGCACAGCCTTGCCGAGGGCTGTGGCTTTTGAGCACCTCTCACGTGTGAGTACAGGATGCACAGCCTAGCATTTAATCTTCACAAAGACCTTGGAGGCAGTGGGTACTGTCACCCTCAATCTAGAGAATGGAACAGGCTCAGAGTCTAAATCCAAGCACTCTGCAGGGACATTTTATTGGTGACGGCAGTGGTGTGGGAATTTCTGAATGACTGGATGGCCTGAAATGTACTAAGTTGGAGGATGGTTTTGGGCCAAACCAGGAAAGGACAGAAGTCTGTAGTTAATGTCTGAGGACACAGTGGGAGAGGAGCTAGGTTCTGAATGAATGTCTTAAATATATCAAAGATGGCAACCTGGGAGAACCAGGAGAGGGGACTGAGTTCTCTGAGACACATGACCTTGTAATACTTCATCCCCATGAAGGGCTCGCTTCAGGAAGTATTTGGTGGGAAAACATCACTGTAGAACACACTGAAAGCAATTTGGAAAAAAAAAAATCCATGACACTGACTATGTAGCAGTCACCATTACACTTACATCGAAGTATTAACTCATTTAATCTTCATAACAACTGCATAGGGGTATGGCCCTTCCCCCATTTTTACAGATGTGAAATTGAGACACAGAGGTTCGAGTGACTTGCCCAGAGTCACCCAGGGCTAGACTGGGCCTCAAACCCAGGTAGGCTGGCTCAGAGTGTTTGCAAGAAGCTATGAACTTCAGCATTGAAACTTGAGAAGCCCATTAAAAAAAAAAATAAGCCCCACTGAGCCTCATGCCCTGCTGGGTGCTGGGACTCAGTGAAAGTGGGGCCACCAACCTCTGGGCAGCAGAGCCTACAGCCTGGCAGCAGGAGACATACTGGAAAATCCTACACCCAGCGAGTGTGCCCAGCACTGCAAGGAGGCGGCACCGGCTGGGTGGCACCAGGAAGGTGTCTTTGTGGAAGGGACATTTGGGCTAAGACTCACAGGAGGCCTAGGAGCTGGGCCAAGTGGGAGGATGAGAGGGCAGTGCTCCAGGCTGGGAGCAGACAGCCCAGGAGGAGAACGTGGTCAGGCTGGAGGTGCGCCGGGGTTGAAAGGTGGGAGGCCAGGTGCAGAGGCCAGCAGGGGCTGCCTGAGCCTGGGGACTTACCCAACCTCTAGCAGCGGAAGAGGGGGTGGGGCCTCACCGCTCAAACTCACAGTGATGGTTCCTAGCTCCTCGTACCTCTGGAACCACATCATGTACTTGTGTGGAATCACGACTGCTTCTTTAGGCCTTGATACAGGTACTGTGCCTTAGTGCCCTGGGGAGGAACAGTGTGGAGAGGGACTGTGGCTCCCAAACTGGCTGGGGAGCCAGGGGACGGGCAGGACAGGCTGAACTCTGCCCCCGCCACAGACCACAGTTGGGCTGACAATCCTGGGAGATGGGGCTGGGGGCACAGAACATACCAATGCTGGTCAGAGAAGGGAAAATGAGACAGAGGTGAAAAATTGCTTTCAGAGAAGCCGAGAAGGAAGAAAACTAATGTGTGATGAGAGCTGAGAGAGGAGGCAATTTAGAAAATTTCCCAAGTGGGGATGAGGGTGGAGGTCACTCATGACTCACTAGGTTGGGAGGAGGTTGACAGTTTCCCAGTGGCCTCTTAGGGAGGTTTTGAGAATGGCCGACGAGTGGAGTGGGGCTCGGCCTAGACTGAGGGGCTGCTGGAACAGGGCTGGGGATCTTCCATGGGTGAGCCAGTAAGCTATTGGCAGGGGCTGGGGTGAGCCACAGTGGACTGGCCTCGCTCTCAACCCGAGCAGTTCTAACACCTTTGGGCTGGAAGCGGGGACAGGGACAGGTTGAATTGGCGGCGGGGGGGGGGGGGCCCAGGACGGGGAATGGGGGGGGGGTGCGGTCCCAGTGGCCGCAGTGGGGCACCCACCTCACCCCTCCAGCCCGAGGGGGGACGGCGGCGGTGGCGGCGAAGCCGGGGGGCCCGAGGCTGCCCCGGGGGCCCTGCTGTACCTCCAGATAGTAGAAGATGAAGAAGAGTGTCTCGGTCGACAGGCGCTGGTAGAACTCCACAGTGTCCGAGTGTGGGGGTGGCATCTGGTGGTGGTAGGGGGGCGTCGGACAGGGGTTCCGGGGGAGGTACTGCCTGTGGGAGCAACAGGAAGGTCAGTGCCAGCTGCCTACTAGTCCTGCCCTGATCAAAAGGGTGCTCAGAACTGCATCCCCACAGGGGAGGTGGTACAGAAGGACCCAGGGCGGTGCTGACCTTCAGTGGAGAGCCGGAGTCAGGGGCCTGGCGCTCTACCCACAGCCTCACAGGTTTAGCCACTGCCTCCTTGCTAAGACTCGAGCCCCAGCCCACCCCCCTTCCCTGGGGCCCTCACCGGATACGCTCAGAGTCAGAGGGGTGGGGCATGTGGTGCCAGGCGGCCTCTTCCATGGCCTGCTGGTAGAGCTGCTCCTTGGTGAGGGGCACAGGGCCCAGTGGACAGACACCCAGCGACAGCGGTATGTTCACCTCTGACAGCTGCAGGGGTGGCTGAGCTGAGGCCGGAGGTGCTGATGTGCTGCTCAGGATGATGTCTGTGGGGAGAGCGGGGGGGTCCGGCCCCTCAGTGGTGAGGATGGGTCAGGGGCCAGCCCCTCCTCTTTGGCCCACTGCTTCCCCACCATCCTGGGTTCCTCACCTCGCTCAGTCAGGTGCAGCGTTGGCACAGGGTCCTCAATGCCAGAGCTGATGGCTGCCCGTTCCGCCATGGACTTCAAGGAGCTCAGAGGCTCAGGGGCCTGGGGAGGAAACGAGAGGCCTGGCCTGAGCACTTGGGCTGCAGCAGCAAGTGCAGCCTGACACAGGTCCCAGATGCGCTCGCCTGCCCTGCTTGGGGGCTGTGGAGGGCCAATGAGCCACTCCTCATGATCTACCCATGACAGGTAAAAGCATCAAACTGTAGGGAAACAACTGGAAATGACTGACGCATTCATCAGCAGAGGAACGTCTAGTAAGTGGGACTCTGCACCATGGAATACTGCATGGAGATTTTCAAAACACAAGTTCGTGACATACTACAGAAGTAAACGCCAACCTGCAGAATATGTACAGTGTGCTACCATTTTTGTCAAAGGATGTGCCAATAGTACACGCTGCTTCACTAGGGACACCTACATGCTGGGAGAGCTCCCGCCTGTCTTGAAGGAGGCAGGAGTCTACATGCTCAGCTGTCTGCTTCTGACTGGCATGGGGTGACTGGGATCAGGGTGAGCCCAGCCCTGCTAGGCTTCAGTCTCCTTGCTGGCGACAGGTAGGCTGGGTCTCCAGACCTGTAGCCACAGCCTCGTTTCCTATTACAAAGGTTACAGCAGGCTTCTGTTCCCCAAAGTCAGGACTGGTTCCTCCATCTCCTCCGGCCACGTGCAGCTGTCCCTAACCCCAGCCCTGTGCGGGACTCCACAATGCGTCAGTCGCCAAGGCTTATCCATCCTGTTTTGCTGTATCGCCCGGGCAGGTCTCAAACTCCTGGGCTCAAGTTATCCTCCTGCCTCTGCCTCCCTAAGAGCTGGGATCACAGGTGTGAGCCACCGCGCCCGGCTATCCGTCCTGCTTCTAACCCACCTTGGATGGCTCCTTTCCCTGGCACGCCACCATGCCCCACGCAGCCCAAGCCTGTCCTCTCCTACCCAGACCACCCTCCCTCTATCCTGTCCTCACCAGCCCCGGGGGACCTTTCCAATGAAGTCATGTTGTTCCTTCTCCAAACCCTGCCACGGTTCCCGACCACCCACCCCAGCAATTCCTTTTTGTTGGTGGTGATGTTAAAAGGTATGGACCCCTTTTGAAAATCTCAAAGCTGCTGTTTCCCCTTTTTCCAGAAAAATGCATGCACTATAAATATCTTGTCCACCATACTTCTAAAATTTGGGCCAGGCACGGTGGCTCACACCTGTAATCCCAGCACTTCGGGAGGCTGAGGCGGGCAGATCACCTGAGGTTAGGAGTTCGAGACCCGCCTGACCAACATGGTGAAACCCCATCTCTACTAAAAATACAAAAATTAGCTGGGCGTGGTGGCAGGCATCTGTAGTCCCAGCTACTCAGTAGGCTGAGGCAGGAGAATCACTTGAACCTGGGAGGCGGAGCTTGCGGTGAGCCAGATGGCACCACTGCACTCCAGCCTTGGTGACAGAGCAAGACTCCATCTCAAAAAAAAAAAAAAAAAAAAAAAAAAAAAAAAAATTAATGCTTCTGTTGGGTCAGAAACTGTTCCAATAGCTTCATAAGAATGATTTAGTCTTCCAAATAAACCTATATGGTAGGTATAATCGTGATTACTGCCATTTCCCAGATGAAGGGAAGGCACAGAAAGGACAATGCCAAGACTTGGACCCGGACAGCCTGGGCGCACACGCTGCTTCCCCGTGGAAGCTGCGCTACAGGATACTGGCTCACGAGCCAAACCCCAGCTCCTGAGCCTGGATGATCAGGAACCCCCGTCCTGTCCTGCTACACCCACTATCTCAGCCCTGCAGCTGGTGGCACTGCCTCCTGCAGAGTGGACACCTCTCTCCTCTCTGCTGCATCCTGCCCAGCCTCCTAAAGATGCATGCTCCTCCTAAAGCACCTCCTGAAGCCCTTCCGGCAGCCCTTCCTGCAGCTGTGAGCCCCCTGCCTGGTCCAGGTCTCAGCTTAAACACCTCTCAGAGCCTTCCTGGGCCTGTCTCCCAGGTCAGCTCAGATGCCCCTCAGCGGGCCCACAGCAACCTTCCCTGCAAGTGCCCCAGCAGGGAAGCTTCCTAAAGGGAGGAACCAGGCTGCATTCACCCAACACAAAGCGTGGCCCCCACTGGACTTCAACAAGTGTTTTCTTGACTGAAATGGTTTCTTAGCTAGGAAAAGGAGGGTAGTGAGCTAGGTAATGGATCATGCGAACTAGAGAGACTGGTATGCCTTGTGAGGACAAATGGGGACAGAAACTGAGGGCCTGGGTGGGGATGAAGATGGTGATGCAGAGAGAGCAAGCAACAAGTATAACCAAGAGAAAGGAAAAGAGACCCAGAGAAACAGAGCTTTGGAGGGAACAAGAGGGGAGGTATAAGAACCCCCAGAGATCAAGGTCACGGGAAGGGTGGTACAGAAAGACCTGGAGAACGAGCAAGTGTGAGAAGGGGACAGAAAGCTAGAGAGAGAGAGATCCAGAAAGGGGGTGGGGGCAAGGGGCGCAGCTAGAGACCTGGAGGAAAGGAACAGCAGAGTTAGGACACAGAGGCTCGGGGGATGTCCAAGGAGCCCACCTTGATTTCCGGGGCGGTGCTGAACTGTGGAGGCCCATTGAGTAGGGCACCGGCTGCCTTGGCATCACTGAAGCTGGGCGTTGGGGAGCTGGGAGGATTCACAGGCAGTGGCACCAGGAGGCTGGGTCCCCCTGAGTTGTTCCCTGAGCCTGGGGCCACGCCCCCAGCCCCTGTTGGGGCTGCCGCACTGGGTTCCTTCCTGGAGAGCATGGAAGAGAGGGGTTGAGAGGAGGGCCCCTGAAGGTGGGATGGGCAGAGAGGCCTGGCTGGAGAGAGGGGAGACTGCACACATCAGATGGGATCTGAGAGGGGCGGCTGACGGTAGACAGATGGGAGAAAGTGGCTCTGGGCAAACAAAGGCAGAACCCAATCTTTGGAATGGTTTCTCATCAGTAGAGCAGAGCTGCGGGGGTGGGAGTGAGGATTCTTGGGTGCTCCACCAGGCCACAGGCTGATCAAAACCAGCTGCCTTGGGCAGGTGGACACAGGGCCCATTCCCTCTTGGGCAGGCCAGCTGGAGCTGGTGAGGGGCCGGGAAGCAGGCCTTCCCTTTGTGCACACTGATCTTTCTTGGGGCAGTCTTCGGGAAACAGGCGGACACAGTGGAATGGTCTGAGCTAAGATTTGGAGGAGTGGCTGCAGAGGAATGAGGACTTCGAGACAATTCACTTTGAAAAGTGGAACAGTGACCCTCCAGTGGCAGTCAGGTAGCCTTGGGCAGGTAACAGAAATGGGGAGGAAAGGGTATGGGGCTCTTGAGAAAACTTCCACTTAGATGAGAACATGTTTTAGAATGTTCTGAAGGGCAAAGCAGGGAGGCTGATGTCGTTTCCGTGCTGGAAAGAAGTGGGGTGTTAACACCCGACAGAGGTGGAGGACAGTGCTCGGACATTCCCAGCAGCAAGGGCGGGGGGCCCAGAACCCACTGATGCAGGGGTGAGGCACCAGCGCCTCTCTGTGCCGAAAGGCCGCCATCCCAACCCTGCTGGTGGCCGAGACACTCACGAGGTGCTGGGAGGTGGGTTGTGGGGGCCGGAAGGGGGGCCCAGGGCCTGGCTGCTGGCATTGTTGCCCCCACTGCTGCTCAAAGCCACCTCTGCCGGGCTGTCTGCCACAACTGAGCTGTAACCTGGGAACAAAGAATAAAATGGGAAGGGCTGCCGGCGGCTGCCCAGCCCCGCCCATGCCCACCCCGCTGCCTCCCCACTCACTGGTGGCGCCATTCTGCTTGCCAGCCCCTCCACCGGCACTGCTGTTACTATTGCTGCCGCTCCCTCCACCTCCGCCGCCGCCGCCTCCGCCAGGCTGGACGCTGGGGGGCCGGGGCTGGGTCGTGCTGGGCCCACTGGTAGCCGATGGGGCCACAGCCTGGGCATAGGGGGCAGGGGTGCCCGAGTTGTGGCTGGGAGCTGGACTGGCCTTGGGGCCCAGGGCACTTGGCGGTGCTGCTGGGGCGGGGACCCCGTTGTTGCCAGGAGTGGTGCTCAAGGCAGAGGCAGCAGGCGGGGGGCCGGAGGGGTAGGTGGGCGGCACAGCTGGGGACTGAGGGTGCTGGTTGCTGTGGACAGGCTTGGAGCCGTTTTTGGCTGGAGACTGCGGGTGGGAGAGAGCAGAGGATCAGGACCCAGTGGGCCAGCTGGTCTCCCTCACCACCCCCACCTCAGGCTCCATTTTCGTCCCAGCAGCCTCCTCTCTGGCCTTGCTGCCCCCAACTGCTCCCGCCCTCCTGGGAACCTGGGTGACCTTACTCACCCTCATGGCTTCAGTCACCTTCATGCTTAAAACACTCACACTGATTTCCAGCCTGCCCAGCTTCCCAAGTCCTGCCTGGACACCGCCCCACGGACACCCCCACAGGGATCTGACCACAACTTAGGTTGTCAGCCAGAGAAGATCCATCTGTTGGAAGCCAGGGGACTAGTGGGAAACACCTAAATGTCCTCAATATGAGATTAGCTGGAGCAGCTTAATGTCCAAGAGTAGAAGGAAAAACAGCTAGAAATTGGATAGTAATTCTGAACATCACCTGAAGGGTCATAGAAACTACTCACAGGACTGTAAGTTACCAGCACTCCAGAAAGTGGTGGGAGGGTAAATGTGCTCATGGTATCCCCACTGCAGGCAGCTGCCGACAGCACTCAGGCTGCTGAGCCTAACCACCTCCTGCACTTCTTTCCAGCCACCCCACAGGCTCCCTGCACTTACCAAGCGCCCAACAGGACTGACTAACCACTTCTCTCCTGGGATCGCTGCTTGGCAGTGGGAGCCTGGGAAGGTGGCAGAGCCCAGCCTGGCCCCTGGAGTATCTGCCTCAGTGTCTCTCCTCATCACCTCCTGGCCCTGCTGCCCGCCCTCCCTACTACCTGCGGGTCGTCCTGGTCTCCACGCCAGCCCCCTCAGTGCCCACTCAGGGTGTCCCCTTGAAACCGTCCATCCCATTAGCCCACAGAGGGGCCTCAGGCCCACGTTGCTCCTGCCTAACACTCTTCTGTAGCAGCATTTCCGAAAGCAGGCTCCTGTCCTGGGCGATGTTAAAGGAGTTGGAGACGCACTGCCCACCACCGTCTCCTCTCAGAAACTTCAAGTGTGTGTTATCAGCACAGCCAAGGCCCCATCACTTCCTAGCTTGTTTGGCTCTGGAGGCCGCTCAGGTCCACAAAGCCTGAGCCCCTCAGCCTCACAGTCCCAGTCCCTGTGCTCACAGTTGGACCCCTGGCCCTGCACACCTGGCCAGCCATCTCTCCACACTTCTAGGCTTTCTGTCACAACTTCCCCTTGTTACTGGCTGCCGCCTCTCCCTGCCAGGCAAACTCACCTGACTCTCAAGCCCAGGGGACTCCACAGTAGCATCTCCTGACTGCCTGGCCAGGCTGGGGGTGACCTGTGCCACCCCCTTGACCACAGCACCAGTCACCTGTCCACTTGCCCTGCCCACCTGCCCTCAGGGCAGCACTGATTTCTGACCCACCTGTGTCCACCAGCCCAGCACAGTGGCCAGCACTCAGGTCTCAATGTGCCTTTGGGATATTGCCCAACACACCCATCCATTCCAGACTCACACCCACCTGGCTGACTTCACTGTCTGTGGAACGTCCCCTCTTCTTATCATCTTCAGAGTTTTCCTGAGGTAGGGGAGGCAGAACAGAAACCTGTGTGACCGCTGGGGGTCTGACAGAGAACCGCCAATCTCTGAATGTCCCGGGCCCTGGGCCCAACTGACTGCCACTGCAGCCCCAGAGCTGGTCAAACGGCTGTCCTTAATCTGCCTGGAGAAACCACCTAAATTCAGGCTCTCCAATGTTCTTGTTTTCTGGGAGCCAGCACTGACCCACCAGCCTCTTAAGGATCTGGGAACCTGCTCTCAACAGGGAATCCAACCCTTGGATCCCTGCCCAAGGTGGCCAGCTACCCAGCCTCCTCAGGCAGCCCAGGCACCGGCCCCTCCCATCTCCCAGATCCAGGACCTAAACTGGCCCAAGATACACCCTATTACTCTTTATGTTCTTTAGGGACCCAGATGTAGGATCTTAGGGTGTGCTCCAAGAGCCTAGACCCTGGATACCAAGATCTGTGTTTCCTCAATTACTCTCCCCTAGCCACTTTGGAGTGACCCAGATTTGCCTCCTCGAGTCCAGCCCTGCTGGAAACACAAGGTATCGTGCCCCGTGGGGCCTCACCGTGGTACAGTTGGCTGGGCTGGGCGGGATGGGAGAGCTGGAGGTGGTCGAGGTGGGTGTGCTGCTGGACTGGTTGAAGATCTCATCCTCCATGTGGCTGTGGCTGGGGGGGGAGGTGGCGACCAGCGCCTGTGCTGTGGGGGCAGAAGAAGGGCATGCTTAGCTGGCTCACAGCCCACTCTGGGCCCTCACTTCCTGTGCCACGATCAGCCCCAGGGCCTCACGAATGTCCTCGAGGTCCAGGTCATCGTAGAGAAACTCGTTCTCCTCGAAGTCGGGGTCCTGGGATGAGTCGACATAGTACTCAACGTCGTCCTTGATCTTGCGGATGGCATCAACAAGGATGGAGTCATTGTCCAGCATGCGCAGGATGGTCTCTAGCATGCGCACGTGGTAGCGGTGCTTCTCGATGTGCCGCTTCAAGCCCTCGATCCGGTCCTGCTTCTGCTGGCGAGCCCAGGGCCAGGCTCAGGGGCTGCAGACCACCTGCTTGGCCCCTCCTGCCCCCACAGAACCTGTCCTCAGTCCCTGACCCCTGTGGAGACCCAAAGCCTCCACGCCAGCCCCTTCTGGGGTGGGGCAGTATGGGGTCCACCCACCCTCTGAGCCCTGTGGGGACCACAGGGCTTGACATCTTGGGATCCCACTGCTCTGCTCCCTCCTCTTCCCACACGTTTCTGGCTCCAGGAGTCCTTGGAAACCTCTAAACAACCCCAGAGGTCCTTGTGCCATCCCATGACTTGGCCTCCATCTGCACCTCACCTGATTTCTCAACTGAGTCCAGATTTCTCAACTGAGCCCGCCCACCACTGACTGCCTCTGGCACACGGATACCCTCCAGCTTGCTCCAGCAGTAATAATGATAACCGCCATTTGTGAGGAGCTTGCTGTTTAGAATCATGATGATATTTGTCATCACTAGGTCCCCCAACCCCACCCATTTATCCCAGTGGGAGCAAAGATCCATAAGCCTCGCTCCTGCCCTCCTCTCAAGGCTCCTTTAGCATTTAACATCTTAGTCTCAGTTCCAAATCCCTGCTCTGTTCAAGGACCCATCATCTCCCCAAAAGCCCCTGATTCCCAAACCCCTCAGAATCTGACACCCAACCCTGTCATCGTCCACTTCCTGACCCTTTCCCACCCACAGCTTCCCTGAGGACCCGGCTCTCCCCTCCCTGTGTTTCTGGTTTCAACAAGTCCATACGATCTGTATCCCTTTGAACTCATACCCCACAATCCCAGATTTCAGAACCTGGGACCCCAATATCCAGCTTCGTCCCAGATTCCTCTCTTCCTTCAGGCCCAGTTCTCTGCCTTCTCCATGTTCTGCCTGTCTCTACCCACTGTGCTCTCCCTAGGACCAGCATCCTCTGGATGCCAGGAGGCCTCTTGCCATGGGTGTCCTTCAGGTCTCATGCTTACCCTATGGCTCAAGCTCAACCTGCATTCACATTCCCCCAAATCGCTCCTCTTCACGAAGGCCCCACTGTCTACCCAGACACCCAGGGGACCCTGAGATGCTGTCTGACCTCCTCCCGGCCCCACCCAGGCAGCTGCTAAGCCCTCCCGATCCTGTCTCTCAAATCCCTAATCCCGGCTGCTGGCCCTGTCCGCCTGAGGAATCCGGGCCCCAACTCCCAGGAGCCTAAATGACTGGCCTCCTGCTGACCAGCCCATCCCCATGCCCATCCCCATCCCAGAGGTGTGGGGTCTCCCTCACTCACATCCTTGTCGCCCTTCTTCTTGCGTGTCTGCACTGACAGTGACTCCACCTCACTCTCAAACTGGTCCACCTGCATGTTGAGCGTGTCGATGGTATTCTAGGGGAGGGAGAGGAAGAGGAAAGCCATCAGCCAGGGTTCCCGCCTACACCCAGGGCTCAGGATCCTCAGAGTTCACCTCCTCTTCTCACCCCAACTCACCGTGAGCCACTGGCCAACCTCTTCTTTCTCCTTCTGGGCAGGATCTACCTTCTGGGCCAGGCCCAGGCCCTCCTTACTGTAAGCTTTGGTTTTGGTCTCTCGTTCCACAACTTTGAACCGTTCCATTTGCTGTAGAGAGTGTAGTTGGCAGGGGGCTCTCAAAGGCGGGAAAGGAGCTGACTAAGGGACAGCAGACACTCAGACCTGAGCCTCATGACCCTACTTTCTGAGCTCTGAGTCCGCTGCCTCTTCCTTCCCTTAGCTCCAGAAACCCTACTTCTCTTGAAAAACTCGGGTCTGGCCGTGCTGCCTCCGCCCCTTGAGATCTCAAGAATCTGGTGACCTTCCCACCTCTCTAGGACTCAGGCTCTAGGCTCCTACCGTCTCAATGAGCTTGCGGTTGTCTATAAGCTGCCTCTTGTCCTTGATCTCGTTGGACGCTACCCATGTCTTGATCTGGTCCCTCAGCCGCTGCAGATGGGAAAAGCAAGAAAGTCAGACCTCAGGATCCGGGAACTGGGACCCACAGCTCCTTCTCCCTGGGACCCAGCAGTCCACTCTCCCAGTTCCCTCAACCCTCAGGACACAGGCGTCCAGGCCCCCAGCCCCTCACTTGTAGCTTCTTAATCTCCTTCTTTAGGTCAGCCTCATACTTTTCTTTCTGGTTCGCGTTGGCTGCATTGTGGAGCTGAGGGACGGAGGGAATTCAGAAGTCAGTGTGGGAGGGGATGTCCCAATACCCACTCCAGTGAGTCTTCCTTATGCTAGGGACTCGAGGACCCCCCAACCCCTACCCCCAGTGAGTCTTAGAGCCGATTCTCTTAGGTCCTCAGCATCTGCAATATGCAGCCCCTCCCCCTGGTCAACACCCAGAGGTCCTGAACCTCCTTCCTGTGCCCTCCTCTCTGAAGACCCAGATAAGATTAGGGTCTCAGCCCCGTACCTTCTGCCAAATATCTTCAAACTGCTCCACGCCCTCGGACACCTTCTTGAGGCAGCGATCAATCTCACCTGGCCAGGGAGGAAGAAGGCTGTGAGAATCCTGCCCAGGCGGCAGGTATCTAAAGAGCAGTCTTCAGAAGAGGGCACACGTGGCTACAGGTGCAGTAGAAGTCAGTCTAGTACCTTGGAGTTTGCGCTTGTCCGCCATCTTCCCTGCCCTACAGACGCACTCTCTTCATACTCTCTTGGAGACGGACGCTGCTGGGAGAGATTGGAGAGGAATTAACACGTATTCTCCGGCTGGTAAAAACCCAGAGACATGGACCTAGTCAGCATAGTTAGGTAGGTGGGACTGGTAAAGGAAAGAAGCATTTGCTATCTGACAAGAGACCAGTCCCAGTTCTCCTGATGCTCACTTGACTGCCCAGCATAGTGTCTGGCCAACAGAGGATCCCATAAGTTTGTTGAAACAAGAAAAGTTACATACTTTTTTGTGTGCCTCTGACTCAGGAAGTGGAAAATTCCTGTAGCATGGAGTACCTTCTCCCCAGATCACACTCAAAAAGATTTTTCAGAGCAGGACAAAGTCATGCTGCACACAGCTGATGACTGGGATGAAGGCATTAGCCCTGCAGATCACACTTCCTACTCAGAGGGGCTGCGTACAGAGGTGGCTAGAAGAGGTCATGCCTCAGACAAGCCAGCAGACAAGCGAAACTGGCAGCTCACAGAGAAGGGCGTGTGCGTGTGTGTTGTGTGTGTGTGTAAGCTGTAGGTGAGAGAAGAAAGATTGGGGGTGGGGGAAAATGACGGCGAGCAGAGATGCCGAAAACTATGAAGAGCTGAGCCCACTCAGACAGACAGGGCTGAATGCCAAGTAGAAGGGACTTAAACCACCAAGAAATTTATTCCAGAGCAGGATCCTTAAACCAAAAGGAAATAACACTCCTAACCCAAAGAAACTGACACCAAGAAGGGTTAGAGATTTGGGGGCAGAAGGCAGCACCCAAGAGAGACCTGGGAGAAGACAGAAATCTTACTAAGAGGGTGCAAAGGTACCACAGCTGTGGGGAGCCAATCTGCACACACGAAGGAATCCCGTATCAAGTGGATTGGTCATTTAGACTCAGGGAAACATGCACCATCAGGGCAGGAACCCAAAACTTAAAGAGAGGAGCGTCTTTATTTTAAAGGAAATTACATGGAACCCAGAGAAGACCGAGGTCAAAAGGGAGTTCCAAGGAGCTTGAGTCCAAGGGAAGACACATCTTAGGGCCTGACAGCGAGACCCGGGGAGCCCTGGGGAGAGAGGCTTATGCTCAGAAGACTTCTGAGATACCAGTGGAGATTGCCCTCTTCCCTCCAGGGAGGGGCCTATAATGAAAAGCACAGTTCCCTGGGATCCAGGGGCCGCTCCCACACTACTTGTGCAGGGCAGGGCAGGGCAGGGCACCCGGGAGTAGTCACTTACTGTAAAGACAGAAACAGCCCCATACTGAGGACTAAGAGCCTCAATACAGAGGGAAGTCACACCAAGAGGGTCCTCACCCACAAGGAAGGGAACATCTGGCAAACAGTGCTCTCCAACAGAACTTTGCAATGCTGGAAACACTCTTTATGCTTATCTGTTGGCCACTGAACATCTGAAATATGGCAAGTGTAATGGAGGAACCGAATTTTCATTTTTAACTAGTTATTAATCACCACATGTGACTAGCAGCAACCATATAGGACGGGTGTGCTTTAGAACAAGAAGCCCATAAAGGACAGGGCTGGTACCCCAACCCCAGAGAGAACTTTCCCAACACTGCTGGGACCCATTCTGGGTGGTAATAGGTAGGGGTGCTACCTTACACTTGAGGGGACTTAAATCTCCTCAGTAAAAGGCCCAACCTAAAGCAAAAGGCAGCACCCCCGCTCAGAGTCAGAGTCAGCTAACATGCCACACCTGGGGAATCTCCAGGAAGGCAAAGCAACAACAAAAGGACCCAGGAGAAAGTGCCGCAGTGGGGATTCTGACTGAGGAGGGGCAAGTCCCTTTGATCCAGGGAGCTTATACAAGGCAAGGGCCTGGACACCAACCCTGAGGTGTGCAGGGATCCTCACCAAAGTCCAACACCCCAACACAGAAAAGCCTCTTACTGCATAGGGGGAACAAGAATGTGAAACAAGAGCTTACGCTCCCACTTTCCATCCCAGGAACCCAACAGAGGGTCATGGGCAGGTGCTCCAGCCCAGAGAGAGAAGAGGTCTCATGGTCTTCACCCCTAAACAAGGCAATCAACACCTTAGGAAGGTGACACCCTCCCTGCGTCTCCACACAGAAAGGACTGGTGCCCTAGTACAGAGGAAGAATACCCCAGAGAGGAGACCACACGGTGGCAGCAAGAGAAGGAAGTCCTGGAGGGGTCAGCAGTCAGCTGGAGGGGAACAAGAGCCCTAGCCCAGGGAGGTGATGTTTCAGACAGAAGAGCATGACATCGAAGTCGGCTACAGCTGAGACCCAGCGAGGAGGCAGCTCCTCCACAGAGAAGGGGCAAGTGCCAGAGGCCCAGGGTACTTGTCCCCTAGAGAGGCTGGAGCCTTAGTCACAGCGGAGACAACACCTTCCCCCCTAAGAAAATTCCTATATCATGAGGGTGTCTGTACCTCTGGTCCCCCCGGCAAAGGACCAGAGAGAAGGGAAGCTGGAGCTTGAGTCTCGAAGCAGAGACGCTGCCAGAGAAGAAAGAGCCCCATTTGCTGTGGTCAGCAGGGCGTCCACCAAGATCCTCCAAGGAAGGTGGTGATTGCAGGTCCACTCCCAGGTGTGAAGAACCTGTGCTCCGGCAGCAAAGGCTCTCTGAGGCTCTCTCAAGAGCACTGAGGAATCTGGGACCCTTGGCCCAGGAGACTTACCCAAGAGGAACACACATCCCCACAGGGCAGGGACCCACAAGGGGTGGGGTGGGGTGGGGTGAGCAGGACACCAGCCTCACAGGAGCCAACACGCCTAAATGAGGGCCAAAACCAGTAAAGAAGAACCCCCCAAACTTCACCTCAGGGAAGATGATACCACCACACAAAGACTCGAGGAGGGAGGGGCAGGAGGCTTAGTCCTGGGGAACTAACACTGGGCGGTCCTTAACCTTGGGGGCTGTCATGTGCCCACACAGTGGTCTTTGTCATGAGAAGCCTTTGATCTGGGAGAGCTTCCGCCTCTGCAGCAAGGAGCTCTGGGAACTGATGTTGAAGGGTGATCCTTAAGCCCGGTGGCTGCTGACATGGCCACACAGAGGCTCTGAGACTCTAGGAGGAGGATGTGTTAGGGCCTGGGGTGGAGGTAGTCATCTCCACTGAGATGCCCTTGCCAAGGGTTGGGGGCTGGAAACTCCTACTTTGGAAAGTCTACAGCAGAGAAGTCTCTGGTCCCAGGGACGGGGTCCACAGTGGAGTCTCCCGCTTGAGACTCAGGTACCTTACATCCACACAGCCATGCAACTATGCCTTACCCCATACAGTGAAAAATCAAGACGGGGTTTTGGAAGCATTAGCCGGGGGCACCTGCATCCGAGAGGGATCCTCAGCCTTATGGTGGGGACATACACAGAGGCGTGGACACCTCAAATCCAGAAGAGCAGCCATACCAATACCAAGGATGGCAAGAACCTTATCCCTGGGGGAGGCAACACCAAGAAAGGGTCCTTACCCTGGAGAGAAGGCACAGCCCCAGAGGGAAGAGCCCCCACCTCACAGTACAGGAACCCGGGTCTAGGAAGCTTCCTACTCCCATGGAGTACCAGCAGCGGGGCAGGAAAGCGAAACCCTTGTTCTCCAACTGCTGACACCCAGTGTGAGGGTAGATGGGAAGACAACAAACCCACAGTGCGGGATCTGATGCAAGTATCAAGGGCAGTGGGCTTCTTGGTCCCTGGAGAGATGACACCCTAAAGGAGGAGACTGGTGTGAAGGCAGAAGACGCCTCACAGGCAGGGGTGAAAGGAGTGAGGGGAGACATCAAAACCCCTCACCAAAAGGGCAGGAGAGCTCACCCCGGGGTGGGTGGCCGCCCTGCACTGAGAGGCAGGGACTGCTCAGAAAGAGGGGCTGGCGCTGCTTGCAGTGGAAGCTCACTAACATGGACAGCGTGGGGGCTTAGCGTCCTTCACCAGGCACTTGAGCGCCAGGGGAGCCCAGCAGCCCCCAGCAGCAAGACCACAGTGGCCCTGACATCACCGGGAGAGGCCCACACCCAGGTCAGAGTCAGAATGCAGGGGAGTTCAAGGCTGCAAAGCCAGGGGCAGACACCACGATCCAAGAAGTGTGAGAGCTGAGGCCAGACGTGGGCCACACTGAGGACGGTCCTGTACCCCAGGTGGGGGAAAGCCAGACCCCCCCAAAAGGCAGGCGCCCGGTGCAGCGAGATGCGAGGCTTGAGCCACCCAGGGCGCTTCTCGCTACGAGAGGGAAGAGCTGCAGACTACAGAGGTGGAAACTTCGGCAAAGGCTCCAACTAACGAGGAGTTTCTCCTTTACTCCTCTCCCAAGAGGCTCCCATCCGATACGGACGGGCAGCTGGAACCTGAGATCCAGGGGAGGCTGCGCTCCGGGGAGCAGTGAGGAGGGATGCGGAGGGTGGCCTCGGTCCTGGGAAGGGTGACTCCCCCACCCCGCTGAGGTCCTCGTCCCGGGGTGTTGGCACACCCCCCACCCCGCCACCGTCGAGAGAAGCCCCGGCGCGGAGGCTGCCCCCCAACGCGAAGGACCGAGGCCGAGGGGGGCAGGCACCTGAGCCCCGAGAGGGCGGGCACCTGGGACCAGGGGCGCCTCCATCCTTCCAGCCAGGAGCCAATACCGACGCGGAGAGGGGCGGGCACCTCGCGCCCGGGAGGCTTCGCACCCTCACACCCCTACCGGGGGGCCCGACGCGATGCCACGCGGGGAGGTGGCGGCGGGCGGGGCCCGGGGTCCGGGTCGCGGAAGGACCCCCGGGCGGCGCTGAGGGGCGTGAAAGAGGCGGAGGAACGGGAGGGCGAGAGGGAGGGAGCCGCCCCCCGCCGGGAGCCCGGCGCTGCAGAGGCGGCGGCAGGGGGCAGGCGAGGGGAGGCCATGTCGCGACAGACGGCGGTGTCGCCAGGGCGGGAGGCTGCGGGAAGGGCGGCCGATGGCGCCGGGGGGAGGAGGGGAAGGGGTCCGGCCCAGTCGAGCCTGACGCTCTCACCACAGGAGCTGGCGCCGCCGCTGAGGAGCGTATCGCGACAGGCGGGGGAGGCGAGCGCCCGCCGCCTTTTTCTCGCGCCCCGGGCCCGGGCGCTATCGCGATAGCGGCGCGAAGCGGAAGTGGGGTTGGGGGAGTGGGCCCGGGGTTGTTCTGACGACGGGGGTCGGGGCTCAAGGGAGGCCGCGGCGTCTGCCGATGGCTCCGCGGAAGCTGACCGGGCCCGGTCCAAGATGGCGGCGGCGGAGGAGACCTCCCCTCCTCTCTTCTCGTCTCTGGCGCCGACCCGCCCCCGAGTCCCGAATATAGGCCTGTCATTGCTCCCGCTGAACGTCGCTCCTGACCCTTGGAGGCGTTCTATTGGTTCCTGGCAGGGATGTGCCCTGCCCCCTTTCGCGGATTGGGTGATTGCTCCAAGGCGCGGCGTTCGATTGGCCTCCCGCGCAGCCTGCTAGGATTGGCTCGGGTTTTCCTCCCCGCTCCTCCTCCTCCTCCCGCCTCAGGGCACAACACGCCAGCGCGAGGACCCGAACGTCAATCAAGAGACCTGTGTCGTGCTGATTGGATGTATCCGCCCCCCTCTCCTAAAACAATTGGTCGCGGGGAGGAGCTAGGACAGTCCAGGGGCGGGAAGTCGTCCGTCAAGTTTAGAGCTCTTTTTAATTGGTTGCGGGGGCATATTCTGCCTTGAAGTAATTGGTTGGTCCTGGAAGTGGGTGGGGAAAGCGGAGGAAGGCATGGAGTGTGGGCGTTAGAGGCCGCGTACCTAATGGGAGACAGACAGGTGCCTTCAAAGCGGGGGCCGAGCCGAAGTCATCTGCCAATCAAAACAGCCACTGGGCCAAGGGGGAGGAGCTGGGCAAGAAAGTCCACCCCTTTCTCTTCGTTGGCCCTAACGGTTATCATTCATGCTAGTTTGACCAATAGCGTGGCGAGTGGGCGGTAGCTGCTCGTAGAGCGTGTGAAAGAGGGTGTATGTAACTGGCAGAAGTGGGACTTGGGCGCAACCCTTGCGTCCTGGCCAGGTAGACTGCTTTCCTGTCTCTCAGCTGCCTCTTCTTTCTCCAAGTGCCTCTGTGTTGGCACATCTCTGAAATTATTTGCTGAGTGAAAGAAGGAAGGGACCAGAGGCAGTGCTTTAAGTCACTAGCACCGTGCATAGCAGAATTGGTTGGGAAACCGTGAGGCGTGGAGTTTTTGTCCTGCCCCTGCCTGGTTAGGCGACCAGATGGTGGGAGAGTCATTCTCCTCTGCATCTCCGCTTCCTTAGTGTGTTGAGGACGCCGCAGAAGGTACAGAGGAGACGGGTGGCTCCCTAATGCCTGCTCGTTTCAGGTCTCAGCTCTGTTGTCTTCTTGGGGAGAAAACTTCCCTGACCTCCCGGGCGGAGCGCTTCTGTGCGCCTTGTTCGTTAGAATTTATTTTTGCACGTCTACCGTCATTTTCGTAATTATTCGGTTTCCCTATGTGGATTTTGCATCTCCAGCACTTAGTACGCAGGAAGTAGTCAGTAACCATTTGTCAAAGGAATAGATGAATGAATGTGAGGGATGACTTGTGATTGAAAACCTACTAGACACTGAGGCTTCCACGAACCCGGAGGCATTTGCCCAGGGTCACACAACCGAGATGGGAAGCCAGATCTGCCCCTTCCTGTCTAGGTGGTGGAAAGTAAGATAAATCCCAGAGAGAAGTGAACGTGAACAAGTACGGGGTCGGTCAGCACATCAGAATGGCCTGAGGCAAGAGGGGGAGGAACGCTTGCAAAAATGCATATTCTTAGGCTCACATGCAGACAACGGGAATGAAGCCTAGAGTTATTGTTCTAGAGCTTTGCTATTCAAATTGTGGCCCCTGCACAAAGTATTGCTTCTCAGACTCCTCCGGAATCACCTAGGAATGTGTTAAAATGCAAATTCTGCTTTTCTAACAAGTGCCCCAGTGATGCACACGGTCCACAGTTCACACTTTGCCCACCAATGATCCAGAGTGATGACTTTCAAACTTGGCTGCATATCACAGTCACCTGAGGAACTTTTTGTTGTTGGTGGTACTGGTGGTGGTGGTGTTGAGATGAAGTCTTGCTCTTGTCCCCCAGGCTGGAGTGCAATGACACAATCTAGGCTCACTGCAAGCTCTGCCTCCCGGGTTCAAGTTATTCTCCCGCCTCTGCCTCCCGAGTAGCTGGGATTACAGGCGCCCGCCACCACGCCCGACTAATTTTTGTATTTTTAGTAGAATGGGGGTTTCACCATGTTGACCAAGCTGGTCTCGAACTCCTGGCCTCAGGTGATCCGCCTGCCTCGGCCTCCCAAAGTGCTGGGATTACAGGCGTGAGCCACTGTGCCCGGCCCGGCCTGCAATTTTTTTTAAAAAGTTCCTCAGGTAGGCCGGGAGCAGTGGCTCACGCCTGCAATCCCAGCACTTTGGGAGGCCGAGGCGGGCGGATCACCTGAGGCCAGGAGTTCGAGACCAGCCTGGCCAACAGGGTGAAACCCCGTGTCTACTAAAAGTACAAAAATTAGCCGGGCGTGATGGCGCACGCTTGTAATCCCAGCTGCTCGGGAACCTGAGGCATGAGAATCGCTTGAACTCGAGAGGTGGAGGTTGCCGTGAGCCGAGATCGTGCCACTGCACTCCAGCCTGGGTGACAGCAAGACTACGTCCCAAAAAAAAAAAAAAAAAAATGAAGTCCAGATAGCCAGGCTTGCACTAGACCAACTAAAACAATCTCGAGGTGGGAGCCAGACATGAGAAATTTGTGTGTGTGTGTGTCTCCCAGGCTGGAGAGCAGTGGCGCCATCTCGGCTCACTGCAACCTCTGCCTCCCAGATTCAAGTGATTCTCCTACCTCAGCCTCCCAAGGAGCTGGGACTACGTGCATGAGCCACCGCGCCAGCGTGAGAGCCACTTACAGAGACTTTTCTAGAGCAGGGCTTCGCAAATGAGGCCTTGGATCAGGCGCAGACCTATGGCCTGGGAACTTGTTTAAATGCACATCTTTGAGCCCCACCCTAGACTGAATCAGAAACTCTGGGCCCAGCAACTGTGTTTTAACAAGCCCTTGGTGTGATTCTGAAGCGTATTAAATTTGGAGAACCTCTGTTCTGAGTACTAGGGCTGCAGGCCCAGGTGACTCAGATTCCTTTCCTGAGATTCACACCCCCGTGCCACAGCCCCATTGGTAGATGCCAGATATTTTGGCCAAGGGAGATGGGAGATTCTGAACAGAGCTGGGGACCACAGGTCCTTCCCTGGCAGACCAGTATGTAGAGATCAGCAAAGGCTGTCATTTTCAAACAGGGTTGACCCAAAGGGTCAGGGATGAAATGGAGGAAAGAGACTTGACTTAGGCAACCTGGGGTAGTTTGGCCACTCATAGGAAGCTCCCAGGTGTGTCGACTTTTTGACTTGCGGGAGGAGAGAGATTCAGAGATTGCCACTGAGGTCCTGAGACAGAGCTCTGGGATGAAGGACAGGGATCCAGAGATACAGAGAGTGGTGACGGGGAGGCCCAGAGAGGGGAACAAAAAGAGCAAAATCTCAGACAGGACCTAAAAAGTCAGAGGGAGACCCAGATAGCATGAGCTGGAAAGAGGGAGGGAGAGAGAGAGGGGAGGTGGAGAGAGGGAAGGTGGAGACAGGGAGGGAGAGAGAAGGGAGGTGGAGGGAGGGAGAGAGAAGGGAGGTGGAGAGAGGGACGGTGAGAGAGGGGAGGTGGGGAGAGGGGAGGTGGAGAGAGGGAGGGAGAGAGGGGAGGTGGAGGGGGAGAGAGGGAAGGTGGACAGAAAGAGGGAGAGGGGAGCTGGAGAGAGAGGGAGAGAGGGAAGGTGGAGAGAGAGGGAGAGAGGGAAGGTGAAGAGAGGGAGGGAGAGGGGAGTTGGAGAGAGGGAGGGTGAGGGAGGTAGAAGAGGGAGGTGGAGAGAGGATGTGGGAAAGAGGGGGGGAGAGGGGAGGTGGAGAGAGGGAGGGAGAGAGAGGGGATGTGGGGAGAGGGAGAGGGAGAGGGAGGTGGGGAGAGAGGAGGTGGAGAGAGGGAGGAGAAGGGAGGTGGAGAGGAGGGTGAGAGAGGAGGTGGGGAGAGAGGGTAGAGAGGGGGAGTGGGGAGAGGAGATTGGAGGAGGAGAGAGGGGAGGTGGGGGAGAGGGAGGGAGAGAGGGGATGTGAGAAGGGAAGGAGAGAGGGGAGGTGGGGAGAGGGAGAGTAGAGGGGAGGTGGGGAGAGGGAGGGAGAGAGAGGAGGGTGGAGAGAGGGAGGGTGAGAGAGGAGGTGGAGGGAGGGAGGGAGGTGGAGGGAGGGGAGGAGGGAGGTGGAGGAGAGAGGGAGAGAGGGGAGGTGGAGAGGGAGGGAGAGAGAGGGGAGGTGGAGAAGGGAGGGAGAGAGAGGGGAGGTGGAGAGGGAGGAGAGAGAGGGGAGGTGGAGAGAGGAGGAGAGAGAGGGGGAGGTGGAGAGGAGAGGAGGGAGAGTAGAGAGGGAGGTGGAGAGAGGGAGGAGAGAGGAATGGAGAGGGAGGGAGGGAGAGAGGGGAGGTGAGAGGGAGGGAGAGAGAGGAGGTGGAGAGGAGGGAGGGAGAGAGGGGAAGGTGAGAGGAGGGAGAGTGAGAGAGGGGAGGTGGAGAGAGGGAGGAGAGAGGGGGAGGTGGAGAGGGAGGGAGGGAGGGAGAGAGAGGGAGGTGGAGAGGGAGGGAGGGAGAGAGAGGGGAGGTGGAGGAGGAGAGGGGAGGTGGAGAGGGAGGGAGAGGGAGAGGAGGGAGGGAGAGTGAGAGAGGGGAGGTGGAGAGAGGGAGGGAGAGTGAGAGAGGGGAGGTGGAGAGGGAGGGAGAGTGAGAGAGGGGAGGTGGAGAGAGGGAGGGAGGAGAGGGAGGGAGGGAGGGAGAGAGAGGGGAGGTGGAGAGGGAGGCATCATCTTCCCACCAGGCTGCTGCTTGTCCTGGTAACATCTCTCAGGTAACTAACGAAGCCGACCTCGTAGGTCAGGTGACTAGCGCTGCCTCCTCAGTACCACTGTGAAGCCCAGCTCCGGAGCACGGAGTAAATGGAACCCCTGGAGTTGCTCTTAACCTCTCCAGGGAGATGGTTTCATGCCACCCGATAGGACAGCCCCTGCCGTCCCCTCGCCTGGAAATTCTCCCGACTGTCTGCAGGCCACATTCCCCTCAGCCCAAGTAAAGGTGCCCCTGGCCAAGCCCCGGTTCCCAAGACTCAATGACTGGAGGTCGGGGGAGGGGGAAGTGTGCTCCTTCTGCTCACCTGGCAGGAACTTTCAGAGCAACCAGGTCCTATCAGAGCAGGCAGCCTGCCTG